CAAGATGTGCAAATTTTTCCGCTTGTGAGCTTTCATTATCACGTTAAACCTTCACCAACAGTGATAATTTCATCAACAGCTTTCCAATGAAATACTTTCATGTCAATCTCTCCAAGTGAAATTAAATTCTCATGCATACTAACAATGTGCCAAACATTTGTCAATATTAGTATTTTTTCATCAAACATTTTAATCCGAATGAATCCAATGCCATCAATTTTACAAGAGTGATGAGATGATGCATAAGTAGTAAAAAAACCTTCAATAAAACACATGTGAACAAGTAAGAACACAGTAAGAGCAAACAAAGTTCAAAATCCATTCATTTTTCCTGGTGAGGAAAGATGTTCACAAGACATAGTCTTTATCATTGTTGATCACAACATTTGCAGAGAGACAAAAATATTACTCTCTCTTCTCTTGCGGCTTACAACTACAATACTTTTTCATTTGGCCCAACTTGCCACACTTCTAACATTCAATCTCCTTCTTGTTGACTTCTTTTTACTTGGACCAATTTCGCGACATACTCACGACTATGTATCGCTTCTCCTATCTCCCACGAATGACATAGAGAGCAATAGAAGAAGAATAAGGTGTTGAACAATGAACAAGCTTTTGTTGGATGTCGTCCGCGAACAAAGCTGTCACTACCTTATTGTAAGGGATGTTTTCTTTGTCTAGATGAAATTACACACAAAATAGAGTGTGATATGAGGTTGACAAGAAGCTCACACGCTGCAATGACTTTTTTTCATCACTCAAGTCCTCACCCATGTTCAAAAGATCCATCAATAAATCATTGAAAGCATCAATATGACCTTAGATCTTTGTACCTTTGACAATTTTGAAGCTCATCAGTATTAACAACGTGAAAAGCCGATTTGACAACTCCTTCTTGTGATACTTTGTTTAAAGCGCTTGAAACACAGTTGTCACAATCTATACTATTCTAACTTGTTTCAACACAATTGGTTACAAATAGAGAGTCACAATACTCACAGCTTGATTTTGAATCTCATTTCAATCGTCGTCATTAACATTCCGGATTTTCGGATAAATTTTTTTTCTCTAAGCTCATTGTTTTGATCACATTCTTGACTTTTTGTTTTCATAAGAACAATTTAGTTTGGCCATCAAAACATTCAACTTCAAACCTCATTCCACCAACTTTAGATAGCGCCATAGGTTTGATCAGCTAATTTCCAATTTGAGAACGTTCCGAAATAACTTCAACAAGATCATCAACAAAAAACTTAACTCCTCACTTTTGTCATCCAAATGCAAGAGTTCAGCACCTTCTGCAACAATTGGAACAAGTTATGCTTCTCGCTATAAGCTACTCATGATTACTAAGCGCTCAATATGTTAACCGTTTTCAACGTCTAGTCTCAAAATTGTCAAAAAATGAAAATCCTCACAATTGAAATCTAAGACTACCCACGCGTAGCACACAAGTTAAGTCACTAGAATGAGAAAACGGTTTGTCAAAATCATTGTTGAGTAAAAAGTTATTAATCCTAGAATAAAGGTAATAAAAAACTTGAATTTGAATCCCCCAAGAAAATCATTTGTACCAAATGTTTACACAACTTTTTTTTCAAAGATGTCTCTTGTATCGCATGCAAAAGCAAGTTGAAAATCATATTGCAAAATTTTAGCTCAAATGGATGTAGTTTGCTTGATCTAATCTAACAAAATTGCTAAAAAACACATTCTATGTTTGAATTTTTCTGCCAAAATTCTTCATAGTGGCGTTTTTCCATGTAGGAAGTACGTGACCACTTCTTTGGCCTTCTGAACTAAGTAATCCAGAGCCCTTTTTTATCTTGATAATCTGAAGTCACGCCCAAAATTTCTTCAAACCTTGTTCTCGCAATTTGTCGCTCCAAATTCACGTTAATGTTCATCGTACGGTCATCATATCCAAATGCAACCCTAAACTTCAAAAGTCCATAACTTTGCTATCTTTAGTCAAAATTTAGGTCAAAATAATCATCCGAGAGAGTAGATTAATCCTATGTATGCAAAATCAAATAATTATAGTGATGAAAAATTGAGATTTTAACAAATCAAAGCCGGTTTTTTGGACTATTAAGTGATAAATTACTCTCGCTTCACATTTCAATTATCTTTGTGATCATTCAATGAAACAATTCCGTTCTTTCATCAAAATGTAATCAATGACTCTGGCTACTCTTTCACATAAAATCAATCAACAATTACTTCAAATTGCAGGTAGAAATTTTGACAACGCTTTGGCACTCCCTGGTCTTCAAGAAAATTGTGGAAATCAGAATTCTGCATGTATTGAACTAGCTCTAATACCAATTATAAGGTCCAACAATCAAGATCATTCAACACACAAAATAGTTACAACACTGAGATAACATCGTTTGACTTCCACATGCTATATCCACGGGCAAACTTCACTAAAGTACAACTATATACACTACCTTCATAACAAGCTCTCCTACTTCCTCAGTTTCACTCTCAAAGTGCAATTTTGAACTATACGTAGTGAATGACTATTTCTCTCTTCTATAAGATGCACATCTTAGCTAACCTAATCACAGTTAACTTTGCTAATCATGATCATTGTTAAATTAAATTAATCTAAGATAGAGTTAAACTAACAGTATGAAGTTATAGATCTTGACTTTAACATGTTTGTGATAGAGTGCTAAAAAATCATCTTATTGACATTTCAAAACAATATGAATACGGTGCTCCACATAAAACATTAGTTAGTGATGAGTATTGAAAAAAAAAATTTGAGCAACTTTGTAAACATAATTATTTGAAGATTTCTTGATCAAAATAGCTTGCATGTAAGATATATTTCTAATTGTGATATTATTGACTTTCTATTCTTGGTTTAATTTATTCATGTACAGGAATGTGTTCAAGTTTAGTTTATTTAGCCATGGTTTTGGAAACCATAACAATTAATGATGCATACGAAAAAAAAATATTGAAGGTATTTTTTAAGATTCTCTTTGTTTTCTTTGAGTTTTTTGTGAGTTTTTTTCTTTAAACAAAACACAATTTTCTTGTGTTGACTGTATTTTGAATATTTTTAATTAAATTGCGATTGAGAAAAAAATTGATCTTAGAAAAAGAATTATTGAAGATATTCTCAATGGAGATGTTACTTAATATTTGAAATGAGCAATATTGAATAAAATTTTGTGAAGAGTAGAAGAGACAGAATACAAGCAGAAATCACAAGCAACAATTGACAAACATTACAATGAAATATACTCAACAAAATATCATGAACAAATTACGAGCATAAGCAAACACGAGACTAATGATTCTCTTGATAGATGATGATACATTTTTCAACATATGATGAAAACAAAATACTCTAAGATGTACGAAGATGTGAGTGAGCAGATTATTACGTGAAAAAAGACATACTCTAAGATGTACAACTTTCAAAGTTTTGATGTTGTTTAGGAAAAAAAGTAAACAGTAGTGATTTCTTAAAAAATAATATATGAGAACAAAACTACATGTGACTGAAAAGATGTGAATGCCTAATAATTTTATGATTTATGTTTGATGTCTTCATTAAGAGTTTTACTTTTAAATTTAGTTAGTATATCATTTTAATATTATTATTTGTGAAAAATGATAAATTCTTTAAACTTCATTATTTCATCAAAAAATTTTGAGTTGCAATTTGACTCTTCAAAATTCACTTATCTTGCTGTAGCATTGACATTATGAATATTAACATTAATTCTCCTTTCGATTTTGAGTCTTACTTTAAAAAGTATTTTATTTATACTTAAACAGGATGTGTACTTAAATCGTTGCGTACTTAAGCGGGAGGCCACTGTATTATTATTAGAGTAGAGCTCAACCTACTGAAAATACCATCACAAAAACTATTGAATTTTTTGTAAAAATTTCTATTTTATGTTGAAAAAAAATATAGTGACTAGAATATGGTTTTTATTTTTTATACTTCCATATAAAGAAATCATGATTGAAAACATACTTTTCATCATCAAACTTACCCTTTTAAGCATGAATTTGTCAAGATTTGTTCATAAGAAGATGATAGGTAGTGAAAAAATTAAGCTTATAAGTCACATCCAAAACATACTTGATTGTGTATAATCTTGCTAACATTATGCAAGCACAACTTGATAAGTAAAATACTATCTATCGATTTGATACTTGGTTATGGGCAAACTTTGTCACAGGAACAAATCCTTTATTTTTAAAAAATTGGAAATATAAAGGTCTTGTGATATTTTATATTCTTTTCATGTTGATATCATAACCACCAAGCAACAAATACAATCTCGTAGAGTAAGATCCAGATGACTTGATGGTGTTTTGACGACATGCACAGATGCGTCTGCGTGTCAGCTGCCGGATAATTAATAATACGTCAAATCCGGCGTATTCTGGATGCGGGATTTTCACTTCCCTGCCACTGATCCACATTCTTCACTCGCGATTTCCCTCATCGGAGCTTTAGGGTTAGAGCTCGACGATCCAGCCTAAAACTGACAATGTAGTTGTATCCTGTTGGAAGTGCTGCAAGATAGTCACTAGAACTGCTTGTCTTGGACGATTGATGGGAAAACAGGGGCTCATAGTATATCCATATATTGTTAGATTACTCACGTCCGTAAACTTGTACCGGAGCATGGAGCTGTCAAGGCTGTCCCTCACCTTGACGATCACCATGTCTTGATTTTCGTCGTAGAAAGTAAACTCTGTGTCGAGAAAGTCTCTATAAGTGTAGTCTACAGTACTAGACTTTCTTGTAGTATATTATTGATCCTCTGTAATAGCTTCAATTCACTACAAGAATAGGCAATCGAATAATGTAAACAATAAAGATATATGGTTACGAGATATTGTTTTTGGTCCAAATTTCAGCACAGATAGATGATATGAATTAATCACTTGGATTCATGGATTTCGTAGCCATAGTCTAATGTTGACTCTAACACAGTTATATGAAATTTGAAATCCTCCATCTTACCAATGCCACGAGGGAATTACATGGGAAAAATGTAATTGGTTCATTTATTCATCAATTGCTTTTATAAATCTCATGTGCAAATCTGAATTCATATATTTGCAGTATTCAGACTTCAGCCCCTTTGCTAAAAGTTTTGTAAGATGTAACCTTCAGTTGCGTACGGGCTCATGGCATCTTCAATGCATATCCTGCCAAGTTAAAAGGTTTAAGTTAGTAGGTTAATCGCGAATAAGTTCAACAAAGCTGAAATCATATATCTTGGCTCACAATTGTATTATAGCTATGAAATATTTATTGATGGTCATGAAACCTACAACCTTCAGATAACAGACTGCAGTTTGAACCTTTCTTTAACTCGCTAGGTTAGAACTGACAAACCTGTTTTGTATTCGTATCTGGGCCAATGCTTGTAACAAAGCTGTCGCAATATATTTGAATCTGAACATGGAAGCAGTTTTAGTTAGTCTAGGTTCCAGCGTACGATTTTTATACGAGTCATCTTGATTCTGTTAAGGGATTGTAAACAGACCCTCTTCACTTCTTGAATATCAATAGCTCCACTCTGACGTGCTTCTAACTTGTGGTATGGAGTATATCTTTGTATATGACGTGACTAAGAGGACTATTGACCACTATTGAGATTCGATCCTACAACTGGCTGATGGACTATTATAGAACACAGATGCGGCAGCAGCTATGCAGTTTAGGTCCAACTTTGACCACTACATGGCCTGGATCCCTTTTATATATGGAACCCTCATCTACCTTCAACTCTACAATAAAGTTCTTGAAAACTTCTCACATGCTCCTTTCCGATAGAATTACATCACTAAGTCGCTTTGGACAAACACTTCATCTCAGCATAAGTAAAGTTTCTGTAGGCTAGTGTTCCTGAGTCTTCATATTACTCTTTTATGTTGTGTTTAGATTCAATTTAGGTTCAGGGCTTCGAACTGCCAAGATTCTTATTGCAATTTTTTTCCCAGAGTTTTGCTGTTCACGCTGAATGGCCTAGAAATTGAGTAATCAAGCTAGAACAAACTGCACGAGTCACTCTGAGATTGGAAAAGTACCACAAACCTTTCGACAATGGATTCTGCATCAGAAACTGGACGTGGGCACTGGTTGCCAGTCAGGGCAGTTTCACGAACGAACATCAGTTCCTGGCTATGCGAATGCACGTAATCTATTAAGTTACTAACTCTTTCGTTGTCTTCTTCCACAGATGACAAATCCTTCACACCCGTTATGTGGTCTTCAGCCAGTGCTTCAGCGGACGTGGTATAGCTGGGACATTTTACGGTTTCCTCCTCGTTGGCTAATTGCTGTCTTAAAACTTTCAAGACTGATGGAATGCAAACGCTGCAAAATTCAGAGACCGCTGTCAGCTTCGAAGACGGTAGACCAACACTTGGTAATCGTTTCACATCATCACGATGTAGAAGAACTGCTACCATCCATTGCCAAAATATAATTTCGTGTTTCTCGCACTGCTCCATCTGTTGACCCACGTGTCTCATAGCTTCAAGAGCTCGAAAATGCGATTCTAGCGCCTCCTTATCTTCCAAAAGGAGTAAGTCAAACTGACTGTGAGAAAGGCCATTCTGATTCTTGATATTAAGATCGAGCTGTATTTGGTTAAGTTTGTGCATCCTCGTCGCTTTCGTCGAGACCAATGCATGGATTGTCATCATGGACATTCGAACCCGACCAAATAGCAGGAGACATTGTTGAGAACGAGCTCTGGCTCTGAGCCCGACTTCTACCAGCTTATCTGAAGCAGCTACTAATTTATCGACATAATTTTGACTCCTCGCTCTGGCTTGTCTTCCCCTTTCCGCAGCCGTGGACGTCTTCGACACATCTGGTGCAGTTGCCGGAAATGGAGGTGGCGATCGCTTCCCGAGTCTGTGCTGCAGAGCTCTTTTGAAGATGTCACATCTCGATATCAGCCATGCAAGTGCCAGCAATAGGCTCTGGCTTTCCTCGGTCTCGTAAGACAAGTAAAATATAGGAGAACTGTGAGAATAGCCCCACACAGAGAGGTAAAACTTCACGAAAGTTACAACATCTTCCGGTAATATGTCATCTCCTCCTCTCGATGCAAGAACGTTCTCAACCGGTTCAAGTGTGGAGGAGGAGGAGGAAGATGAGATAGAAGACGAGGGAAAAGCCAACTGCAAACAAATGAGCTGGTGCAGAGAAGACCAGATCGACGCGGACGCGGAAGGATGATTGGCGGCAGCTAGCAAAAAACTTTGAGGGCAAAGATCATGGAGGCCCAAAGGGCGGACCAGCGAGCACAGATAGGCCAAAGATTCAGAAACCGACTCAACACCACGACGGCCCATGCTTCCTTCAGACCACAGCGAAGATGACTGACTTCCACCCTCGTCTGACTCGGTTCGTCCTTCCCACGCGGAAGTAGCAACGCAAAGAATCGAAAGGACCGGCGGCAAAAAGCATCAAGATGTTCAAAGCAAAGCCCATCCTGGGCCAAGAAGATACAAGATGGAGTAAAGAGAGAGGTAATGCGTCTGGGCAAGGATCTTTCTCTTCCTGTTGTTGTGCACGAGGAAAAGAATGTGCATAGAATGGGAGTCGCGATCTCACGAGACTAAATCACCGTTGCTGTTGTCAGCAGCACACGGACGATGGAAATGGTCCATCCTCGTCGGGCCACTGCGCATCCATAACTTGAGAAGTGTGGACTCCGAAGACTTTGCCCGAACGTCTTTCTTGGAGTTCTTGAACGAGTGACCGACGCCTCTGGTCAGACTGTTCCTTGTGCCCGGTTTCTGCTGATGGACATCCGTCCCCAGCTTATTACTACTCGCTCACACACGATCAAATTGTTGGAGCAAACCGAGTCTCATGGATGAATGAATCCGGGTATAATCTGAACTTTTACGGCTGACAAATATGTTTTGCAACGCATATCTAAAGCGTTTGAACCAACAATTGAAGGAGAGGAGTATATGAAGAAACTAACGGGATGAGAATGCGAATCCAAGCCCAATGATACATAGAGAAATTACATTGGACCTGATGATTCACTAGGTTAGAGAATTCATGCTTTTCATGATCTTGTAGGTGTCATCTATGGTTCTCAACAACCTTCTCAATAATTCTCATGTCATTATGTTGTTTATAATGAATTATAAAATATGAAAAAAGAGTGATATTATACCATATGACAAGATAAACTATAATGAAATTTGTTACAAACTTGCCTTACATCTTTCCATATGAATTCAATGAAAAGTAAAACAATTCATTGTTTGGTAAAATTCAGATATCTATAAACTTTGGTGTTGCAGTTATATCTATCATTTGATTTGTTTTAAATAATTCTATTCAAAAAAAATATTTTAATCAAGCTATAAATGATACACAGTATAACAATCTACAGATTTTGAAATACAATCCCAAAGATCATTATGTACATATTCATGTTTCTCTTAATCTTGTGAGTTTCAACATCGAAAGCTTTTTTATGATATTTGTCTATAACACAAGGTTCATAATACTCTAAATCGACTTTAGATATGACAAATGGCAAGATTCTATTTCAAAGGAGTGTCAAATATCTAATACTGATGTGTACTAGCCTAGAATATCATACATGAGTCAATTTAATTGAAAATTTGTTATATTTGTAAATTCTTCACATAATATTATCATCTTCTCTTCTCTCAAGCACTTGAGTTAGTTTGAATTCCAACATACAAAAATAAGGTTCTTTCCCACATCAATTCTAAATTTGACTTGAATCAATATGAGTTTTACTCCATCAAACATTTCACTCAAGTATAAGAAAATTTTTAATGTAACAGATGTGATAAGAAAAACCATTCTCTATGATACATATATCATCAATATATTTTTATGATTGCATAAAACATGCATCATAATTCATCTTGAAAGAAATCATTTTTCTCTAGAACAAACTTTTAAAGCATATTGGTTAAAGAAGAATTATTAGTTTTCAAATGGCAGTTTTTTTTAATATGGCCATTCTACCATATTTTTTATTTACTTTTACATTTATTTCTAGATTTGAATCTACCTCAATCCAAAATGCTTATCATTTCTGATCATTCGTGCATATGATTTATATCAAATCACATTCAACATTTGATTTAGAATATGAAAGAGATGACATCATCATCTTTTGATGTAAAACATCAGTAAATAAAACATTGACAGTTCTGTTATAAATGATTTTTTGTTTTTTACAATGAAACAACACACTTAGCAACCATATATAAAATATATGAAGTTAATGAGGTTAAAAGTTAATAGAATTTACGTTCATCATTAATCTTCTCTCTAAGATTTTGAACATCAATGACAAGATCTTGGATTGTTGTTTCAAAATTTTTATTCTTAAATTTTCTAGCTTCAAATACAATACAAAATGTTTGAAAAATTGAGTCAAATCCCTAATCTTCTTGAAATAATCAAATCACCTTCAAAACTAGTACATTCAACTTAGAACTTAAAACCCACACATAACACATGTGGTAAGTTTTCTTTTGGTTGAAATAAATTTATCCAAAATCTTTCTCTTCCTGAACTTGATGACTTTATTCCACTTAAAAATTTTCAAAAGACAATGCTCTGAAAAATCTCGTCGGACCTCATTTTTATCGCATTCTCTTCTTGTGTCGTGCTTCAAGACCAATTTGCCAAAACTAAATTGCGAACTTTGAGTATCTATGTCAAAGCTTTCGCTCTAATGAAATTGTTGTCACTTCAATCTCTTTATCTTTTGGCATCAACAACAATTCTAAGATTAGACATAGAATTTTGGCCTCGTGTAGACGTTTGCACGTCTTGAAACATATGATAGATCTAAATCTTTATCAATATTATTTTAATCTTACTTGAATCATAAAGCTTCAAAATCAAAACGTGTCATTTAATTGCGATTAGCTCAAACAACACAATACTAGGACAAAAAACCAAATGCTTTGGTATTATTTGTTAGATTTTTCATCACAAATAAAGTCAATCTCATCAATATATTGCTTGCTAAAGATCATTTGATTTGGTACAAAATCTTAAAGATGCAATTTTTTATTAGTTAATTTGAGTCATTCAAGATTGACGATTAACTCAATCAAGTTTATGCATTATTTCTTTCAAAGAGTTTTAAAAGATATCATACTATTTTGAAAAATTTTTATTAGAAAATTGAGTCATTCGAGATTGACGATTAACTCAATCAAGTTGATGCATTATTTCTTTCAAAGAGTTTTAAAAGATATCATACTATTTTGAAAAATTTTTATTAGAAGCACATGTAAATTTTGTTAGAAATTTTTACATATATTATCATGTTATGTATGCAAATTAATATCAGTCAGCTTGTTATCATATACAAGTATGTAAAAATGAATATATCACTCCACGTGAAACAAATATGCCTTTATCATTTATCAAAAGTTCTCAAAGAAATATACAACTTGATATGACTTGAGCAATCTATAATGGATTGAAGATTGAGGTATTAATGATGTACGACTGCTCTAATCAAAATATATATATATATATATATATGTGCATCATCATGTGCAAAATCATGCATGTGTGAATAATTGATAAGAGGCATATAAAGGATACTGGATATTGATACCAAGCTAAGAAATTGGAACACAAAGCCCTTGAGTATATGGTTCAAATATTACTGCTGATAAGGGGCTGAGTCGTTTATTACTTTTGAATCCATGCATGGGATCGCCCGTTCATGTCCACTCCGAGCTTCTTTGGGTATGAAAGCTTTTACAGTTTACGTGAGTTGTTCCACTACAGTCTCGCGGACAATGTTATAACGCTCCATTTTGATTAAGGTTGACTTGTCATCATCCTCTATCATTTTTGGTCTGTTTCCATCTTCGTGTTGTTCAAGCTATGACTTCGTTCATACTTAACAACCCTCGACTTTCTGAACACGTAAATTTGTTCTGCCATGTAGGGTTCAAGAAGCATCTTATATGCCGGACCCTGGGAAGTGATTACTGCTAAAGCTGGACGGTTCTTCACAAGCTTCTGCTCCCGGCCTTCAGCACAAAGAGTTACACCTTCCATCCAACATTGTACAAAAGAGTCGAGTGGATAAGAGACCGGTACCTTCCGGAACTTTGACTGGATGATCGGCGAGGGTTTAAACATAGAAAGCTATCAACTAGAGACATCGGTGAAGAGGCAGCGAGCTTCTTCCATTCCTCGTTCGGAGGAAGTCATGAATTTAGTCGTTTAAACACAAATTCCCGTTTGGCTGAGCATGTGCACATCCAGAAACGGACAAAGCAATTTTGCATAGTTGCTCTTCGTTATCTTAGTATCTGAGTAATTTTGCTGAATTTTCCGGCTAGCTTCAGAAAATAAGTCATCTCTTTCCAACAACATCGCAAGGAAATCTGGTGTTCTGAAGCAGAATTGAGTCGGATCGAGATGGGTGTGAAACTCTTGAAGAACTCAGACTAACACTGATGGCATTCCCTACTCTGCAGTCACCAATTATTCAAGATATTGAGAGGACCACTCTTGTTTTCTACAGAAGAAGAATCAGACCGCCGTAGATCAGGCAAACCTTTAAAAAATCACTTTCTCTTCGAAATCAAGGATGAGAGAACAATTATGGGCACTCACTCTACATCTACAGAGGGATTACCATACTTAGTCCGATGACATCAACTAGTAGTCTCTAGCTTCACTCTGTTGTTTGTAGAAAAATCTGAACTAAAAGCTAGGGAGATGATCAGAAAAATCAAGACCTTCAAGTCATCTCGGAGGTGAGGTGAGGTGCCAGCCATCTTTGACGTCGCCCAACTGCCTTTGTGCAGCCCAGTGATGGGGCAACTGATGAACTCTTGTGCTTTTCACGGAGATACTCAGCAAGGTCTTCTAGTTTTAAAAGCAAAGACCGACTCTTTTCCTCCGAGTGTATAGATATGCTGATCTAAATTATTAATGTGTGGACGAAACTTCAGTTTCGTGTATCTATGTATGTGAAAGAGTCCTGCAATCACTAGGGCCACTAACTCTCCGCACTGTGGCCCTCACCTCCCAACCCGTCCACTCTTCTTTCATGGTCTGCCTTTCGATCGGCTATTAGAAAACAACCGATCACAATCTCAGGACAGACCTGATCGTACCTTACTGACAAAACGCACTGGTTCAAGTGAATCAGGTCATTTTGTTTTGAATCTGCCGATGTACATGAACCAGAAACTCGACGTAGGACAAACCCGATGACGATTTATCCTCCACCAAAAATGCGAAGAAAAGAAATTCTGGAGAAAAGAAGAAGAAAGGCAGTTCAGGCACTTCGGCATGAGGACAGAGTCCACAACACCTCTTCAGAGCTATTCATTTTGGACCCACATTACAAATAGCCTTCAGATGAATTTCACAAAATCACTTCACTCACCTAATGGATCACCTCTTCTTAAAAGCCGCAACCTGTCACCCATGAAGAGGTACAACAAATTCGAACGTTAGGCCGATGACAACCATTCCAAACACAAAATTTCATGACGAACTTAGATGCAGAAAGAATTATGATCATACCGCATGTACGAGCACCGTTGGCGACGAATCTCATTGACTATTTCATTAAGTCTTTTAGAGGCCGGGTTGTCGAACTCTTGTAGCATAAACTGCAAAATACAGAAACGTTATTGTTTCCAGTCCTTTCCGGTTACTCCGAGTTATAACACAAGGAATAATTTCTAGGAAAATGGTTTCAAAACGCAATTTTCAGGATGAGGACTACTGTTCAACATGAAAGTTTCAAACAGCGTGGAGCCTGACCCTGCTTTGTTGTATAACAAGTACAATTTCCAAACCGAGAAGCATATTCATCATGTGAACCAGCTTTAATGAATGACAATCCCTGGCAATCTCTTCAACAAATCATTACCTGTCCAGGGACAACTTCATCAACAGAGTGGACGCCAAAAAGTTGTTCCAGAAGCTCAACTGAGGCTTGCTTTCCGACATACAGGAAGGCATCTTCTCCGGTTTCAAGGAGAAAGACACCATCGTGATCTAGATTTTCACTCGACAATGGCACCACGGGAGGTAATTCTCCTTCAGCTAGTGATTCCTGCCACAGTCATTGTCTCCAATAAGTACCCATACCTCAAAGGACACTCACTTCACATTTTAGAACACCAAATTATATAGAGATGTCTTGTACAAATATTACAGAGCTCAAAGGACACCGACTTTACCCTTGGTGGCAGGGTATGAATGGCAAACATTCGAGGATAAACCAGTGGGATTGAGAGGGGTGCTGCAAGAGATGCCACTCGTGTAAACCAGTAGGCTCGGTCATCCACGCGTGTGTCAACGCGGGTATCAGCACGCAGCCCAATGCTTTTCGTAAGCGCTGCATACAAAAAATAAGTAAGAATTGAGAAGCTAACTGATAAATGTGCTCTAGTATCAGCACTGCTTTCTCGATAATGCTAACGAGGAGCAATTTCTTCCTGGAAAAACTAGGAGCAATAAATTTGAAATGTGTATAGATTGCACATTTTCTTCACTTACACACCACAACAACTAACGAACTTTGACACAAACCACTTTCCTAAAACAAGTTAGTTCAGATGAATGGCATAGGTAGCGAGACACACCAAGTGTATATAAGGGCAACAACTTCAGAGCCTCTGGTAGGATCAACTGTCCAGAAGATGATGCGGTGGCACAAAACTTCCGATAGGTGTACAAGATATTCACACACTGAGCTGTCATCTGGTCTCTCACTTGCGTCAAAGGTACATTTGGGATCTCTTGCGCAGCTGCATTTTCGTAATAATGTGGTCAGAGCCACGTTCAGCAGAGCACTCAGGAACACAGCAATAAAAAGGCAGACCCATGACTTCATGAGCCAAATTGTTGGCCTTCTTCAAATGAGGACAACTACGGTAAGTGAGGAAAGAATCTAGAAAGGAAACTGACACTGAATGTACACTTACAGGTCTTCAAAAAGTAGGTAAACTGGGCATCCAAGTCAGCTCCTCGGAAAAGATTACTGAGAACTGATGTGCACGATAAGGACAAAGTGATGACTCGAATCCGCCGTTGTCCAGTCACGGTTGTGTACAGCAACGCACACTGTTCAAAATTTTTAATTAAGAGTCAGGGGAACGAAGTAAAAGCTTCTGATTCTTTTGATAGCTTCTGTTGTAACGACAAGAAGATGAATTTTAGAATCTGATACTCAAGCTTGATTTGATCCAAAGTCAGAGGAGTGGTATTGACTGCCAAACAATATTTGATGACTTACGGTCCATTATGTTCGGGATACCTGAACTTGGCTCAAGTGACGATAAATTACATAGTAGTACCTGGAAGCAGCATTCTGATCCATCTTGGAACTTATCATCATGCTTGAATGTTACCATAATCGTCTTGTCACTATCAATCTGTACAATTTGCAATCAGGTGCTTCAGAAAAGAAAAGAGACTTCACTTTCAAAAGAAAAAGTAGGCACGGTATATCCATCAATTGGATCATCTGTTTCTCAAGACACGTCCGAATGGTTCGGACATATTCGAGCCGAAACAACGTTCCACCATATCCTGATCTCCTCCACTAAACCCTAAACCTCAGAATTATGTTTCGTACAGTAAGAAGAATTTAACAGATATTTCTTGGATAATGCGATACTTTAAGAAATTTATATACTAGTGCAGTCGCCCACGTCCTATTTCAATTTTCACGAGCAAACGTCTAGCTTCTAAAGCAGATAAACGATGATGTATAACATTTTCGAAAGAACTAACCGCTGGGAGATCAACATCCGTTGGAATTCGCTTACAGAAGTTGCCATAGTACTCCTGCACTTGTAGGCCCTACAGGATGAAGACAATACAGCTCTTTTCACTTGAGTTAAATATGTACAAGTTATATTGGGCAGACATGAAGAACAATACGGCGTTAATTAGTCTGTTAAAAACTAGTGTGATATTTGCACTAAGAAGGATATTCACAACATACACAGATATGACAAATTCTGCGAGATATGAGTGCAGCACGCTACAATATTCGTAACAGATCCACAGAGTATTTTTATAATTGGGAAAAAGTATATAGACCTGACTGCATCGAACTCTCATCACAGCTTCCAAACCCTGTGGTCGAGTGACATTCCAGCGCAGATCATTATACAGCTTTGCAGAATCTGCACCTGCATAAAATGGCTGGTAGAAGTAGACCTGCAAGAGAAGTAAATTGAGACAGGGAAGTATTATAAGGAGGGCAATTTGAACAGAAAAAAGAGTCTAAGATATATGGACTCACCTTTTCCAAATGAGCTTCCATTAAATGGTTATTTAATGGAAACCACCAGTATATACAGTACTTTGACCTTAGTGATTGACATGAAACTAAGTTTACCGAAAGATCAATTGGATGACAAAGACAGTACCTATTCACCCATCTAGAGACATACGACCGCCATTAGAGACACGCACCTGACCGCCTGTAGTCCGAGGAACCACTGACAGTGAAGCAATATCAACATACATTTGAGCCGTCAAGAACAGATCCACGCAGACCTGCCACCCCATGTAGGAACAAGCGAAATCAGAAAATAAGTGCCAGCTTCAAAAAAGTTTGCACCCGGTGCTCCGACAACATGATAAGCTCCCAAAGAACTCTTAGTGGCATGGCATTGAACAGAACTGAGCAACAGTCGCAGACCTGGAATTCAGCTAATTCAATGGCCATCGTCTTCAACAACTTGTCTGCAGGTTGAAGTAACTTCAGAGCTTCCTGTCATAACATGCCAATTCCATATCATTTTTCCGTCAGTAGAACTTTGATCGAAGAAGCAGTCGCCGTATTAGTTTCAGCATGCAAAAGCTTATCCGGGCTAGCACGTTCCAATGATCAAATATCCCCAGCAAACTGGATACACAAGGTGGCAGTTAAGGAGATGATGTACCTTCTCACCGGATACCCGCCCTTCGCTCTCTCTTGGTGTTAAAGCACCCAATCCAATCGAAGGCAACACTGTAGAGGCATGTGAATAAGTACGTGTACAATCATAAAAGAAGCTCAACCCTTCTTACCTATCAAGCCATCAATGCATATAGAAAACTCTTGTACATAATGAAAACAAAGAGTCTTTGGTCGATGAGGAGGCCATTCAAAAAGAGTGAAAGATACCTTCACAACAGGTATCTTTCACTCTTTCACTTAATCCGGGTAAAAGGGTATCAATCTTAACACTGTAATTGACTTACCCGACTGGAATACCATCAGTTTGCCACCCGTTGACTTCATGGCTAAATACGCACCCTGCAAAATCAGTGAGATGAACAAGGGCGTACTTTACGGCGAGGAATTTTCTTTCACCATCGAAGAACCTCTATATTTCGCACGAGAAAGAAGGGAAATCTCAAACGAGCAACTTACTTCTGTGAGCTCACGAATTGGGACCGTCAATAATGAGTGATTGAAAAAATTCTTTTGATTGTATAAGTGAACTTTACTATTTTATTCTATGAGGCATAACCGTCCCCTTTCCGTCCCCTTTCGCACAATTCAACAAAAGACATAAACGCTTCCTACCTTAACGGCGGCACCGAAAGCAGATTCTGGAATCCGGTTGTTTTGAAACATGCTGGGTATACCCTCCAGTATCTGCTCCAGATGATCCCTTCCCTGCATCAAAACGTATAAGTTTACACAATTGATGCTGCGAATGTAGCACATTCTCCATTACGAAATCAAGGTTGTGGCTTGAATGCACAAAGAAGGGATCACATGATGACCAGGCAATAATCTACTTCACATGTTTACTTGAACTCAGTAATGTCCACCAAGCCTCCCCTGCATAAAGTTACCACACAGGTAGAACATACCTCTGAAAGTGGCACAATAAGATCCGTTTGTAAGGGTGTATAAGGATCTTGAATATCAGGAACGACAAGCATGGCCGGCTGCAAAACACAGAAAAAGTTTAGCACCTCTCATTCACCAGGCGGTGAACAAATAAAAATAAAAATTTGTGACACACATCTTGATGGACAACTACAGTAATTCGATTTGGGTAAAGAGGGTCAATTGGGTTAAACCTCTGAAATCATCCACTAGCAAAAGCATTCAACATAGACACATGAATTTTAAACCAGAGCTCATAGACACTGCACAAGTCAATTCGATACTTGCCTGTTGAAGCTTCTTGTTGAGACTGTAGTAATGTATAGTGGAATCAAAAGTTGCGATCCCAACCAAAGTATTAGAACCTTCCTGTATTTACAGATAAGAAATAAGCTCATCGCAAGTCTGACTGCTTCCAGTATCAATAGACTGGACGAGGCCATTATTTACGGAATATCAGCAGAACAACGGTTCTTACTTTTCAAAAGTCTCTACAATACTCTGATGGCCCGGCTGGTACCTTATCTATACTAACGAATAACTTCGAACATCCTGGCCTTCCTGACTTTCCCCACTTCTTCTTGACTGACAAAAGCAATAATGTCCGGCTGGTAATTTCCAAAACTCACAGGAAGATCTGAGAGGGCTCGATTTATCGCACTACATGCAGCAGCCACAGCCCCAGTTTGAACAGCGTTCATCGATACGTCTATCAAGAAAAAGAAGACTGCTGGCATCGGTGGCCTGACCTGTATCATCCGTCACCGGAGGCGGTGATATGTTGTGAGACCTCACCCGACGACTATCATGCAATCAGTTCTTTACCAAAGATCTTTTAATACCCTCAAATATGGACATGAAATATAGTAACTTTAAGAAAGCACAACGGAAGTGAAACACGACAGACAAGAAAAGCACAGACATTAACACTGTCCTGCCAAAGAACGCGGCAAAGACATATAACAGATTGAACCGCAGATATTGTTGCCATAGATATCACTCCACGAGCTTTCACATGAAATTGAGGATTCATTGTTTGAAATCGAAGTACACTCCACACAGATAACGCGCAAGCTTAGGTTAAAAGCAGACCAAGTATTCTGGAGAGGCAACGAACTCCACAGTGCCTCGGGAAAGCTCTGGGCGCTGGTCAGCATCACGCCGTCGCCCATCTGGTCCCAGATTACAGTGGTAGTCACGAGGTGTTTCGTTTGTAAATCCTGTAGAAGTGTAAATATTATAAGTAGATGTTGATAGATAAGAAAATCGTCAGATAAGCACTCCAAATTTCTCTGACAATATTACTCCAAATTGCTCTGACTGTATCATCTAAAGTCGATCGTCAACAAGGCGATGTTTCAACAGAGAAATAATGCACTGCCTTCAACAAATTATCCCTAGCTTTCTTGGGATCAGTCACCTATACATGAATGTTATAATTCAGGAAGTCAGCAAGACGTTCTCCAAAATCACATAAATAAGTAGACGCCTTCATAAGTATCGAAAAAGCCAAAAACATATCAATGTTAAGACGTTATGACAAGTGAGACCTCAGGACCTCAACTGTGAGAATGGTTTCGTGAGTTACAACGGATAGCTCTATAACTGTGACTCATGCCCCAAGTTGAAACGAAGCGAGTTCCATTCACTCTACCCACTGCACGTACCACACAGGTTGCAGGTAAATCTTCGCCCCTGGTCAATAAACTTCATGAAAGGATTGATATAACCTTTACACCGTGAGCATCGCACGGGTCCACTTTCTCCAAAATCTACAATCTGAAGCAATCAAATTTTTCCAAGGCTTAGATTGAATAATTGGTTAGATGAAATATCAAGAATGTGAAACAGTGAGCACACAAACTACAGACGTACAATTATTACACAGGATTCACAATTGACAGAGAAGTGATTTACCTGTATGGGCTCCTCAGACGGATGCGGCAGTGCAAACGGTTGCACCATTATAGCCAAGGGCATGCCTGACGTGTTCAGCAAGTCCCCGGAGCAGGGAATCTGGCAAAAAAACAGAAATCACATCAGTGAAAGCCTTCCCTACTTAGATAGCCTGCCCTGACCAACAGAACAAGAAAAACCTCATAGTATAGCTTAAGAAATATATTGTCCACGGGAAGTTGATCATTACGTAGGATCAAATGCATCGGGAGAGAAGTAATGCACGACAAATTGGCAGAGTTTGAAAATCATAAACAGTCCAGACATATGCGAACTCGCTCGAAGCTAATCCTAATTGTGTAAATCCTAATCCTAGGACTTCCTGAAGACCAAAGACCTGACAAAGCCGTGCTGACAGTAACGGTCTAGACAAGCCTAAAAGTCTGGGAAAAGTTGTTCTCCGAATTGAATATCAACGTGTACAAACGTTATCTTCCATCATACCTGATTTAAAGTACAACGCATCAGGCGAGGGCTGCAGTTGCCAGTGTCTTTCACAACGAAAACACTTGTCGCAGACTTCAACACACACACAGGTCCAAAGATTTTCCCACCCATCAGTTTTTCCAGCTAAGGCTTATAATTAACTGGAAACAATAACCAATAAAAGTGACGGCAAAACACATATACTAAAAAAGTCATGTTCGAAAAAGCTTATATGGTAAACCACAAATGAGAAAGTACCGGAGGCAGGTTGGCTTGGCCATTCACACGTGTTGCAAAAACCACATGAGAAGCATTTGGTTGTGGTCGTGGAATCTGATTCGGATCAATTCGAGATGTCCCTGAAGGAGGAGCTGCAGCTGATGCGGCAGGTGAGCCAGGCTGAGACATCCCTGCAATGGTGGAACCGTACTTGTCCGATACTCCTGGGATGTGTCCCATGTTGGGAGGAAGATGTGAGGGTGTTTGTGAAAACGACTGTGGAGGACCTGGCTGAGATTGTGGAGGACCCTGCAGATTCAAATTCCTGGTTTCATTGGACGATTACAGCAAGTCGACATCCATGAAACTCACACCCATGCGAATAGTGCCAGCATACACTCCATCTAACATCGTACTCATGCTGTGGTAAAGAAAGCTACACAAAATAAGTTTGAGATTTTGAAACAAATGTAGTAGTACACTCACACCAATCAACCCTCGACCAAGGAGATTTAACAGCAGCATTTAGTTAAAAATAGTTTCAAAATAGAAATCTAGGTCGAAAAATAAGATAAAAAGAACAAATAAAAGACATTTAAAGATGTAAGAGAATTTCTCAACACCTACCGTGGGTGGTCCACCAAATTCTGGATAAACTCGACGTGGAGGTCCATGGCCCCAAGATGGTGGAGCAGATGTTTGTACACCACCCTGCATAGGAGGGGCAAAGTTGGTTGGAGGGCCACCACCTCCAGTTCCTTGATTTTGATTCTGAAATGACAGATTTTGAAATTGAGCTGTTGGAGGTTGAGGTGGTCCATACGGAGGTACAGAAGCTGAGTTTGGAGGGAATGGACCAACTGGCTGTCCTGCAGGTCTGGATACTCCAGCAGTTGCTGAGTATGCTGCGGTTGGGGGACCCTGCCCTGGGGCGCCTGCAAAAGGGGACCCTTGTGGTCTCTGCTGAGGAGGTCCCATTGATGCCGGTTGAGGTTGCGAGCTCGGCCTTTGAGGTTGGCTGCCTGCAGGATTTGACATCTGTTGAGGTCCTGGCCTTCCTGGAAAATTAAGGTTTGAAGGAGGTTGAGTCGTGCCTACTCCAGGAGCTCCTCCTGGGCCTGGTGATACTCCAGGGGGTCCTGTGGGAGGTCCTCTCATTGCGTTGTTCGCAAACATTCCAGGTTGCTGCGGAGGTCCATAACCACTACCCATGGGACTCTGTCCAGGACCAGCAACAGGTGCATTAGAAGAAGATAGAAAAGGAGGACGTACACCAGGAGGTGGTCCGCCAGGGGGACCTCCGGGAAAAGGAGCTCTTGCCGGAGGACCTGCAGGAAGTGATCCAGGAACAGGGCCGGGTTGCATAGACTGTCCATGTTGTCCCAAAGGAGGGTTGCCAGGTACTCCTTGAGGCATGCCCACATTCCGACTTGGAGGTCCCCAAGGTCCAGGCGTTCCTTGTATCATTCCTGGTGGGTGAGCAGGTGCAGAATTTTGAGTCGGTACACCTGGGAATCCTGCGCTACTTTGAGGGGGTAATACCCCACCGGGACGAGGCGGAGCGGCAGTCCATTCCCCCTCCCTCCCCATTATCTTCTAAGAAACAGTAAGGAATGATGACCCGCACGGTAAGAGCAGTATCCTGGGAGTTTAGGGAACTCCCAACTTCCGAAGGTCAATTTGGTTCTCCTCGTGGTAAGGCGATCTAAGAACTGCCTTAATATGCCGATCTCCTCAAAAACAGCTTCTTGTACTCCTCCTCCAGCATCTTTCGTAGCTGCGAACATGAAATTTCATCCAAAAAACATACTGTAAGGCATTTCAATGTACGTCAGATATACTTGGTGTCGTCATACTAAGACTGACCACTGATCACTCGTTTCAAGATGAGCAACGATGTAACTTGATCGAAGATACACCTGGGCTGAGGCTAGAGCGAGCAGAGAGAGAGCGAGAGAGCTTTGAAAGAACAAAACTTCGTAACAACCGTACAGTGGACTAGAATCAAACCCTCACCATAATACTTTTTCAAAATCATTTAGTAGAAGACATGCATGCAGTTCATAACAGTGACTAGCGGATTGGGTTGCTCTATGAGGTTGAGACGTAGACAGTGGCCCCGACACCAAACCAAAAGACCATCAGCAGTGATATCTCCGGAACTTGTTTATTGATGATATCGAGAGTAAGCTTTGAAGTCTCCAAATTCCAGCTTACATCGTCTTTAATGAATCACAAAGATCCATAAAACCGATCAAGCGACAAACAGAAGTTCCCGTTGAGACCTCAAGAAAGAAGAAAGAAGAGAATGACCCCAAAGCAAAATTCAATACAAAATATGCTGACTACCAACAAAGCAGGACATACGAAGCTCGATATAGGCTACACAGCAACTTTGAAAGGTGCATCTTATGGAAAGACTACGCTCAAATTCTCAGGATATGAAGACTATACTTAGAATCTCAGATCATCTGTAGTAGCCTATCCTACACAAATTCACTCCTTATTCGTGATATTCAACCGATCACTCTGCAATTCATGATATCTAAAGACAGTTAAGATCAGACAGTCCTTGAACATGTAAATCCCTTCGGGATCCATGCAAAGAAAAAAAGTTGGATCATCACTGAACAAAAATATCGACCAGCTCAATCCGATGACATGAACTGATTTTAGCGTCACTCGTCTTTGCGTAGACAAGTCTCACCTCTGATGTTTGAGATAAAGAAGATAATAAAGAGCTTTATACCAGCTCAATCGGAGGACATGGACTGACTGTCTCTCTGTAGCTTCACTAGTCTTTCTGTAGACAAGTCTGAACTATAACATTTGAGATGATAATTATCAGGAAGTTCACGTCCTCTCGGAGTTGAGGTGAGGTGCCAATCGATATTTGACGTCAACCGACTGCCAAATTGCAGCTCATGACGATAATAAACTACCGTGATTTCACCAAGGATACTGAGGTGCGGCTTCCATACACACACACACAGTCGAATAACGGTTCATTTACTTCCCAGAAATTCCAGTGAACAGAATGTTACTAGACCAGATCACTAACATGAGGTTCGTAGGTAGTAAACTCATCACTCTCTTGTATTAGGGTTCACGTTTGACAGCCGATCGCACAAATTTTCCCATCACTTGTCTCGATCGAGACAACATGAGCTAATAAAAGTTGTTGAAACTTCGCCCGCTCAAATGTGCGTGAAAGTCCTCTTCATTCGTTTCTGCCCGACAGCATACTGCTACTTAGCTTTTCTATCGAAACTGAGTCCCTGTATGATTCGTCATTGGCCAATTGGACATATTTCTCATCCGTCCTTATAATAACGCAGCCAATCCTTCCTTTGCTCCCAGCAACGCATAGTTCATCCTGATTCTTGGTTCCAAAGTCAAAGATTCCTGCCGATTTGCGGCACACTCCAGTAACTTCAAGTGAATCTCATGTCATAACGATCGGGCACTAACCTCAATCACTCATCCATCGTCGTCCCGTTCGATACACGAGCTCCCGCTCCTCTGTACTCCGCCAACCTATCCCCTCGCACCTCAAAATTGTAAAATTCAAATGCCCAACAACTACAGCAGCATCAATCCTCGATCATCCGAGTCCTTGTCTATCTTTGACCAATCCCCCGATTAGCAGCAACAGCAGCAAGTTATCTGCGCTTCCCTTTGATCTAGCCCGGCGCGCACAGACAGCTCCCAGGTTTTGCGATCAGCTCCGGTCCGGTCCAAAATTTAAAAGAAGAGAGGAGAAATTGAAGAGTGGTAGTAGCGACAGACGAGCCCAAGTGGAGAGCACGAGCGTGTTCTTACGTTCGGCCACAGGAGAAAGTCGCTCCGATCTCTATTATACAAAGTGACCACAACAAAAGCCCTAAAACCCTCTCCTTTCTCTCGCTCGCTCTGTCTCCCGGAGCTTCTGCCTCTGCCCATTGACCCGTCCGTAGTGATCAGCCATCAGCACTCAGTCAATCATTATCGTCATTACAGTCACCAGACGAAATGCACGACCGACTGCCTGACTCGCGACTCCAAGGCCGGCCATTATCACCGGCCATTATTTCTTCTTTTCTTTTCTATTTCCATTATTCCACAATTGCCATATTTGCCTTCCTCGCAGCCAGAGTCAACTACGAAGTTGGAGGACCTTCCAACATCCGAGTCCGTGAACGGAGGGACGAGGCCACAGGGCCCGTCTCCAAGGACGGACATAATGTCGCCTTCGTGAGAATCATCCGGAGGAACGTGGACGTAATGCTCAGAGCAAACCTTGGCAACTTTTTACGGAAAGTTCCAGCCTTTGGAAAATCGGTGCCTTTTTTACAATATGCCAAGCTCTTAAATAACAAGAAGTCAATTATCAATTTCCGAGCTGTCACTGTCGCTCCCAATAAAGTACTGATCCATATGATTTAGAATGGAATTAGTCTCGAATCCTACAAATCTTCCCCGTTAGTTGGAATTAAAAGGTGGACTTTCCTGACTTCTATTCATATTAACACACATAGAATTATATTCGGCTCTGCAATATTCTCCCCCAATACTAGTGTAGGGGCAAATCCACTACCCCTTCTGAAATGATGTGATTAGATTAATATCTGCATACAAGCCTATACTTTTTCTCTAAACTCTCCCCTATAATATGCAAAATCACTAGATACATAAAGAGATTTCCATATTCTTAATTCTATCATCAGAAAGCTTGAAAACTACTTGTGAATTACATGTAATCTATATTAGAAATTCCTGTTTCTTACTTTGCAAGTCACTAACTCTTGTTTGTCAAATTGTACTATAGGCTTGTATTGTGTCTTTAAGATAGACTGGTATTATTCCTAACAAACTTGATTTGATTTGATTATCAGTTGCCTTTGATTATCGCCAAATATATTGCACATACATGCACAGGCAAGTGTAACTCTTGTATATATTCTCCACAGAAGTTGCGGAGATTGAACCCACTACAAGTAGTTAACTTATTGATATGTAAATATGGAAATAAAAGCATAGTAGTATTAGTTTCCTAAATTCCAAAATTGCTAAGTAATACTATATCTTTCATTCAAATTTGAAATAGATGTTCAACAAGAGAATTTATCAAATTGTATTTAGAATTCTTACAAGGTGTAACACAATATTTGACACATTTCATAGAACAGAATACAAGTATTGATATCATCATCATTAATTGCATACAATCGGACTGAATTGATGTATCATCCATGATAAGTCCAACATGTGTAAGACAAATTAGTATCATCTTTTATACTAATAATTTCGCTTCAAAAAGCTAGACCAGGTCCTGCTGTTGCTAACCTTTCTCCCGCAGATGTAAATTATCATGTATGAAAGAACTATTAACGCATATCAAAAGAATGAAAATAGTAGCATATCTTATTTCATCCTTCAAACATTGTTATTATGGCTGAAAGATTTCATACGCTCTTTTGAGTGAGATATACACCTTGTTTCTAGAATGATCAGTTTGTCCTCTCGACTCGTCATCCTTATTTTAAAAACACATTTAGGAAAAAATGATTAAAGAAAATAGTATATTATACATTTATTATACCAGTACAATGATGTGTGTCTGTATATAAAGTTAGCATGTTTTTTACTCTATCAATCAACTCGAAAGATATGATGTAAAATTTAAAATTTGTGATTTATATTCAATTCAATTTATTTTTTGCAATTTCAAATCTTTTTTTCATTTATATACATCGGGATTGTCTCCTGATGTGTACTTTATTCATAATTGTGAACATGAAATTTCATTCACATATTAATGTTACATAAGTGAATTAAAAATATTCATGTGATGATCAATATTCCTTAATACAAAAATGCCAACCAATAAATACGAATTGTACCATATATGTTTTGTTCGAGTGAAAATTATATCTGGATTTTTCATAGAGAACTAAAAATCATATCATAGTTCAAATGGCTTTTCAAATCAAAGACATGCCCAAAATCCCTCTCTTCCAAGAGGGGTAATATATGGAATAAATTCGACAGAAAAATGTCCTTTTATCTTTTAGAGATTTACCATTTCTTCTCTTTTTTTGAATTTCCTGGTGACATCCGTCTTGATGATTTATATTGTGGTAAATACAGTGTCAGCCTATGAAACTCTCAAAGCAGAATGGATATCTGCCGTACTCCAACATATACACTCAAAATTTGATATACATGATTACAGATTTTGGACTTTGAATAGAAACAGCTACTTAGCGATGCTCGAACATTTTATATTGCATGAATAGTCAGTATATTAATACATACGCAATCTAACTGATGATTTTGATTAAAATAATATGGCAAAAAAGAAATGAAAAAATAAATTTTTCATGAGATTGATAGAATAATGTCATTGCATTTTTCCGATTTTCTATTATTTTCATCAGAATTTAAAGTCTATACTATATCCAATAGTTCTTTGATATTAATTTTATTATTTTATTGGAAATATTTAGTAAACTTTTAGTGATAATTTTTTATATAGGTCTAAAATTAGCATTCATTGATTGAATCATATTGATATTTATTTACATTTTTGTGAATATTTTTTTATGTTCATTGAAAAATACTTTAATTATTCTAGAAAATTGATTTAATCTATTCAATGACAACCTTATATATGACAATAAATCATCATTAGTTTGAACATTATTAATATTCAGCTGGGATTTTTTCATAATTTAAAGTAACCCAACAACATTACAGGGTGGACAAATTTTTTGGAAATAATTTATTGGTTCATGATTTGAAACTTTCCTGAATGGAACACCTTTAATGGCATCAATGCTCTTATATTTAACAGAATGATGAATGCTATGTATTTACCAATCAGGGATTTACGGGGTTGATAGATAAATAAAATGTACAAAACCTGTAATTCGATAGTATAAATTTATATACATATGATTCTCATAAGAATATCATAATTAAGATATGATATAAATCATAATTTTATTTCTTGCACTGAAAGTGATACTGGAGCATTACTTTGTGCAAGTAGAAACATAAACAACTACTTAGCTACGTAAAGTGTTAGTTCAGTCAAACATGAGGTGGAGTGCCTGGATATTTCATGAATTTTTTTATTCGTCAAAAAACCATATCTTATACTTAAAAAACTAAAAAAGTCGAGATTGTAGCGAACCAAAATGGGACAGTTAGTGTCAAATATCTAGTTACTAATACAGTGGAGAGGTGTAATTTCTAGGGTTGTTGTAGATCATGAAGTTGTTCCTACGACAGTCCTACAGGAACTTAGTTACTTGGTACAACAAAGTCGGATATTCCTGTTGATCGATCGAAAGTGATAGATATCCAGTCATACGACTTTCTGACCGGGTTCAGTCGTCCTTCTCTCGAGTAGACACATTCGCTTTTAAGTTCTAGCTCTCACTCTCTACGATGATTCATGCTGTTAGCTGCTTCTCAAATCCTGCGCGTGAGGTCGAATTGGGCGGGACACTCAGTCGTTACTATCATGAGTACAGGGGTTCTTGATCGGTCTTCCGAGCGACTGGCATACTGACAGACAGAAAGTCATTGGCTGTAGGGAAGAGATCGAACGAAGTATGTAAAACTTCCAGTTGTTGTGGCATTTTTGCTTAATTCCTACACGCAGAGTATTGCGCTGCAGTTTTCTCCAGATTCTTGCAAGTTACGGTCGCACTCTCGTTTGGTGAATTTCGAGGCTAGTATTCTGGGGGCAGCTGACGAGGACCCGGCCCTGGCCCTGCAGAGTGTGCTTGTTGATTGAGCTTCTTCCATTTTGAATGCAGAGAGGAGCGCAATTTCTTCATTGGTCCTTCTATCAGAGCCAGCGGCCTGTTCGAGGAGCGTCTGATTGCCGCGCGTCGGGAGAATTGGCTGGCTGATTAGAACAGGAGCGTCTTTGACGGAGCGTTAGGCTGGGCACGAGACCGAGATACTTCTCCACTGAGTGGGAAACTCGATGCAGCAGACGCAGAGGCCATCTCAGACGAGTTGTGCGATGGAGCAGTATCAATAGCTGCAGTACACGTAAATCTGTGCGCGCCTGAAATTGGGCGCCCCTCTGGCTCGCAGCGGTGCCTTGTTTTTTCATTCAGCACGGAGATCAGCCTTTCGAGGGCGCTCCAGAGAGATTTCGTTCGTGGAATTCCGAACACGCTCGCTGTCAGCTCAGCTTCACCAGAGCCGTGGTTGCAATGGATCCGTCGGGTCATACGCCGGCAATTTCAGAGGAGATGGAGGAAGCATCGGTGGCGAGGCCAGTGGCGGGAGAGTCCAGCGGAGAGGAGAGCAATCCGGGCGAGAAGCCTTATATGCAGAACCTGTTTGTCATGCGACATGGAGAGAGGAGGGATGACGCTGATGAATTGTGGGTGGAATCGGCCCCGCGGCCCTGGGATCCTCCCTTGACAGAGAAGGGCAAATATCAGGCTTGGATTGTGGGCAAGAGGTTGAGGAAAGAGGGATGGAATATCACACGGGTGCTAGTTTCTCCCTTCCTTCGCTGTGTGCAGACTGCTGTCGAGGTTATCACTGCGCTGTGTCTCGTCGACAGCAGTAGTGACGCTAGCAACAGCAGAGATGCCACCATTGATCCATCCAAGGTGAAGGTTTCCTTTGAGTTTGGTCTTTCGGAGCTTATGAACGGCCGCGCTATTCGACGTCCACCAGATGAAGTTACAAATGGTTCTCCAAATATTCCCTGGCACTTGGAGCTCTCTCAACTTGCTGCTATGTTTCCAGCAGGCACTTTCGATGATTCGGTCAAGTCCATCTGGCCGCAAATTCCTGCATGGCGAGAAAGCACGGCTGATGCACAAATGCGTTATGCTACGACTCTTTTATCTGTGGTAAACAAATTCGTCAGAGAAAACGTTCTGTGCATCACTCATGCCCAAGGAGTGGGGGTTTGTGTGGCAGAGTTTCACTTCCAGGTTTATGCTGTGGATTACTGTGCTCATTCTCATATGCAGCGGCCCATTTACAGCTTTTCTCCCGACGGTAGTTTCAGCGCCGGAGAATGGGAGCTTCTGACTGAGTCGGGACCATCCGGCGTGCTGTATGGAACGTTCAAGGACTAGTTTTGGGAGTGTTTCACGACTGTCACTTACGCTTGAAACAACAGTCATGAAGCAACGGGCCTACGAACTTTCTGGTAAGTGAATGCACTTTCCTTGTTAGACAAGGATTCCAGTTTTCCTTGCAATTTGTTCCAGGTATACACTAGTCGCTTTCAGCCACGTAGCTCAAATTTTAAAGATGTGCGCCTGAGACTGACGATGATGTTATGACGTTAAATATAGATTTTCATTATCTAACACAAGAACTGATCTTAGGTCTGCCAAGTCTTGTTCAAATGGAGCATGTCCCTGTGGGTCTAACTCCACAAATATCCAGGAACAACTTGTGTGGCAGTCGAATTATGTCGCCTAGATTTCAGGAGTTAGAAGGATGTTTTCGGCTGAGTATAGAAAGTGTGTCTCTCAATATGGCACATAAGCAATTTGTCAGCTGACAGAAGTACGTTGTGTGCTCTGACGACAAATTATTCAGATGTGATACGAGCTTTTCATATTTTTTGGAATCTGATTTGTTGTACTCCATAATGACAAGGCTGCTGGTGATAAAGAAAAGTACATGATTTTCGTGAAAGCATGTCTTGTTCGTCATTGTGATAATTGAATAATTGATAAGAACCTCCTGAAACAGCAAAATAAAACAGAACGTGAAACAGATGTCACCTTATGACTGGCAACCGGTAACCGTAGCAAACAGGATCGCCTGTCCTCTTACAGCATCTCTTAACGCAAGCATAATCTCTTTTTTTTTCCGATTGGATGGTACTGGAGACAGGTATCGAACATATACTGAAATGCAGTCCAGTTAGGTTTGATGGGAATAAAATTTTCCCATAACCTCTACTTGTGTTCTCTACATCTTTCTATCACGAACTTTCGGGCATATGTTCAATTCTCATTTTCATTTCATTATTGTGTCACGTATCTTCCACTTTGTTCAAACGCCCGTTGGTGGTTACTCTTCTCCACGTCCTCCCCGTCTGTGTCGCCGTAGATATAATATACACTACACAGATCATATTCTGTATCTGGAATGGTACATAAAATGCAGGGATGAAACACGTGATTTCTCTAGGCTGTGCTCATGGGAATCGATTTTTGACCATGGTACATTCATTCGTTGAGGGAGGACCTTTGAGAAAGATCTCTTTGGAATGGTTTAGTGGAGGAGTTCAAAATTACGATAAAAAATGTCTTTGAAAATCGGAAGCGAAGACATCTATGTCTGGAAATGCTGTCAAGCCCCTAATAATTCACTGTCAAAACCGAGTTATTTTTTCTTGTAAGCAAAGTTTTACCATAAGTTGTTGTTCGAAGCCGAATCTGGATGCCAGAGATATATTTGTCACGCAGTCTTGGAAAGTAGCTAAGTAGAGGGAGAGGGTTTTTCAACCACTGGAGAAGGAATCGTTGATCAGTCTTTCAATCATGATCTTTCTGTTTGTTAGTACATTAGCTTTCCCTGGAAGAGTAGGGCTATAATTCAATACCGTCATGTAGCATTCATGTTTTCTTGAAGTTTTGACATTCGAGAAGTTTGAGCTTGAGTAAATTCCCTGACAAATTCTTTTCGTTGCAATGTTGTGAGTATATGCTGCTTCGGTGTGCGCTTGGAAATAAAAAAGATTTCAGATTCTAAAGAAGCGCTTCTATGTCGTAGATCTTTCGAAGTGATTGTTCTCACTGATCTATGAGAATTTGACCCATTCCAACGCAGAGGTCTTTCTCCGTTGCGCAATTGAGTTAAGTAATGTGCTAGAACAACCGACAGATGGTCAAAGAAACTGAATTCCCCACAGAATGTGCTAGAACAACCGACAGATGGTCAAAGAAACTGAATTCCCCACAGAATGTGCTAGAACAACCGACAGATGGTCAAAGAAACTGAATTCCCCACAGAAGTCAGACGGAGTTTACACTTCAGGCCGATCTCAGTGAAAGAATAGAAATAATTCCTTGGAACTCACATTCTGGAAGACTTTCTATGCTTCACAGATCGTAAGCGAGGTTTTGAGGTTGCAATTTTCGGCTAAGAGTATATCTTTTGGATAAACATCTAGTTTTAAATGTTGGCTACGCCCACATTGGTGGCACTAAATGTGCGGTGGTTTTTTAAGATCGAACCATCATGCATCAACTTGAGAAATTCTGAATACTGCCCCGGAGCTGAGTAAGCTGCACGGATGTAGTGCAATATTCGTCTACAACTGCATCACGCTACGCAATTGCACCATCCTTCGACACACCTTTTACGCACACTTCTGAGAAATAATGAAGAAGAGTTTTTATCGGTCATTAGTCAACGTATGTTTATCGCTGACTGTGGTTCGGTTCAGTGTGCAATCTAAGTATACCTCACATAGATACTATGCAAATCCTTCAATTCAACTGACCACGTTTCAGAACCGCCTCAAGTTACTAATAGGTTCCGACTTACATTTAGCTTTGAAGAACAAAGTCTCAAGTATATATACTTGAAATGGCTTTCTCGAAAACAGGTTTGCTACAGTCACTTAAGGACACACTCTACCTTCATTATGAAGTAAGTTTGAGAGAACTTTTGGATAAACTTGAGGAGACAAATTTCAATTATCATTTATCTAGCCATGTCAAATAGATAACAAAACGGATGGTAAGATACCAGTCGTTACGTAAGCCTAATTATCCTTAATGCCACTAAAATGGGAAATTCATCATGTAGGAACTAATACATCCAAAATGAGCCAAACATTCTACAACGAACATGCACATCTTACATTCCTGATTTGATTGTAAATAAGGTGACTATCAGAAGTTATTGATGTGTTTACTTATATCTAGATAACAATAGCTAATGCTCTCTAGATACATAAAGACGTAAATATAAGTTGACTGAATTATGCGATATTCTCTTCAATACAAGATAAGCTCTTGCCCATTCTTTTCACAAATTCGTTCAATTCTTCCATACATAAGTCATGTAATTGTTCTCATGTGTAAATCAAATTGTAAACCCTAAACCCTTTTAAGCTCCATCTAAAATAATCAATACATTGTGACTAAATGGAAAAAGGAGCAATGTGTAAAAACTCAAGAATAATATATATATATATATATTATACCTGTGTACTTTTTTAATATATTGTGATAATATGCTTGAGATTCTAGAAAATCTAACAAAAAATCTCGTAAAGGTGTATCTTTTAATTTGTTATTCTATTTTTTCAAGAAGTTTTTTTGCAATATTTAAGTATGCAAGCAAACACGCATTGATTGCTGGCTACAATATTCAAATCGTGGAACTAGATTTTACAATATTTGACTTTTTGGTCGCTATGAGATGATCTTATAAAGTTGTTGATGGGGTTAGTTTGAGTCGAAGGGTACCTAAGCCGGCCTTATCTCAATTCAGAGCACAATAGTGTTGTTGTGAGAAATAAAAGTCAATGCCTAAGCCTGACTTAGTCCTTCGATTTTATTTACTTGATAGCCGTGCGTATAAGAGAGTCTAATGTACATTGCATTGCAAACACACAAGAAAGGAAATCTGAGTTTGTAGAGCTGGGCTCAGTAGGGGCTGAGTCAAATAGGTCATGTTATCTCCACTAGAAGTCCGTAGTGGTTTTCTAGGAAGATCTGCACACTGACATTGAATGACTTTCTGCATGAGTAAGAGAGTCGATGTGACTGTTAGGACATCCAAATTGATGATAAGTTCACAATCGTCGTGATGTGGACGTCACGTTTGTATGCAGCAGAAATGGACACCCATGGACAACTGGCAAGATTTCTTGATGCAGACTGCTTTGGAAAATGAAGCTTGACCCGGATATTGATTGTCAAAGTGTAACATCTAGGATTAGCCATACTTGAGTGGTGTGTGTGTAATGCTAGATGTTACACTTTGAGTGCTGTCCAAGAAAAAGATGGAGGCTAACCCTGGTTCTTCATGTGGAACATTTGGGGGTGGCAAAAAGAAAAGCTCTAAATTTCAAGACTCGAATTTGGCAATGTTTTGACAAATTGAAAACAAATTGAAGCACTCCATTAAACAATCATCCTGACCATCGTTATGTTGTTGATCAATGTTGTGTTGTTTTCTTACATGTGACATGAATATATAAGCAAATTGAGGAAGACCGTCAGAGCCATGATTGTAGCACATTCAAGGCAAATCTGGTATGGGATTTGAGATGTAAGGGTGCAGCCTTGCGACATGTAAGAAGACTTATCTTTTGTCAGATGCTTAAGCTTAAGCTGATTAGGTGTAACATATATCGTTTGCCGCATGTTTGTCACATGGATAGACGATTTGCTATGGAAGTAGTATACCAAGTCTCCTTCAAGGACAATATGTAAGGAAACAACACAACATTCGTCAACAACATGACGATGGTTAGGATGATTATTTAATAGAGTAACGTTTAAATTTTGCATACAGAATAATAAAATGTGCAGATTCATCTTCAGTGCAACTGGAAGTGTGGACATAATCAATAATGAGTATGACTATCTAAACGAGTAAAATTTTAGTTTGGATTTAGAATTAGGTTTGCCAATTCAGATTCAGTGCAACCTGAGGGTGTGGACACAATCATAGTGAGGATGATTGTCTAAACGAATAAAATTTTAAATTGGATTTAGAATTATGTTTGCACATTCGTGTTCATTGCAACCATAGGATGTGGCCACTATCAATGGTGTGGATGATAACGTGAAAGATAAGTTTGAACCTACGTTTAAAATGAGGTTCGCAAATTAAATTTCACTGCAGAACCGCCATGAAGATTTACTAAGTCTGAGTTCCGATGAGTGGAAGCATTTCGCTTTGACTTGGCATAGGAAATTTCATCGAGCTAGGAATGGGGCTCCTGTTTGGTTTGATTGCTATATAACCTACAACCTTAAAATTGTTACGGCATAAAAGACATAATCTGAGTTGAATCCTTGACATTTTGATAAGTAGCTGGCAAGACCACATCAGAAAATTTAAAAACATACTCTCAAACCCTGACACATTAACAAACATGAAGCAGAAATAAAAGAGTGCATCATTGCATTGGATCAACGCGAGAATTAGTGTCAGAAGAGACCATGTTCCTTGCTAATCATTACAGGCCAACTGTACAACTGAATGTTACATTCCACAATTACCAGAACGAACTGACAGTCTTGACAATTATCAAGAGGAACTTCGGCCCTTCCTGAAAATGCGACGTTGCCATTTCCTTTCTATCATCTCAAGCTTAATAGCGGCTTTTCATCCACTTCTCTGGGTCTCCTAGATTTTCAACCAACTTCCTTCACAATTAGTTGTGAGATAGAACTATGACACTACCAAAGGTTCAGCACCACTACTTCGGCATATCCAACTAATTCGAAAAACAGCGTCACTGGACACGTGCAGTGACAGCTACAACAGTAGAGTAAGGGCGTTGCATTCAGAATATGTACTGCCCCTAGCCTTCTGTACAGATGGAGACTCTGGGTTTACTCATTCTAACCTACGTCTGAAACAATACTGTGAGTAAGGATCTCTAGAGAGTAGCTTCAGCTCTACTAAAGTGGTTTGTTCACCGTTCCCGCAAGTGCCGCATAAATTCACCATAGTTAACCCTAAGATACCTAGCACGATTGAATGTACAAAACGTAGGCGATTACAGCCTCAAATGATTCGATTCCTTATGTCTTCAAGCTTCTTCAAAATTTCTCCTGGTGTTCTGTCCAGTTCATCTGCAATCTTGCGCTGCAGGTCGGCAGACAAGGTTGGATACTGCTCACAGAGATCGCCATCAATGACATCCTGCACACCCGATCGATACCATTAGATAAGAACATGTTGTCAGCCTCTTCAACTTTCTACCCTTTGATCTTTCAAAATCCGCATCAAATTCCGTTTTAGAGAAGGGCCGTCATGTAGGACAACGGCCCTTCTATCAGGTAGGAATTAGCAGGTTTCAATAGTCAATAGAAGTTTGCCTAGTAAACCCAAGTCTTCTGTAAGATTAAGTGCATAGTAAGTGTATTTTATAAAACGTAACATGTTGGCACTTTCAAACGGGATCAGGTAGCAAAAAATGAGCCCGAAAAATAGCACGGTGGTGTTACGTCACAAGGTCTCATATCACTCCTACTATATGCTGACCGTTAGCTAGCATACATATCGTTACAAACACATATCCTAGAGTCACATTCCTCCATCGAGATCAGGGTTTGCAAAGATAGTAGTCTGTACCTTGACGGGGAAGTATGCTGATCTGAAAGCCATGTGGTCACGGCCGCACAGAGGAGGATTTTCTTGCCTCAAATGCATCTCCAGATGAGAGAAGAAGTCAACATCCTCTCTTGAAGCAAACGGAAGAAGTGCGCCTACACTCCCCATCACAGTTCCGTAGAGAACGCACTCGCCTCCACCAGGAATCAGAGAAGCTTTCTGCAAACTAGTGACTACCTCTCCGACGTGGAACTGGATAATCTCCTCGACCTTATTCGGAGCTCCGTTGAGTCTACCTTGTTCCCACTTAATCTTTCCTCCGGTAGGATCGTCTTCTATTTCCTCTGATACATCCTGTGGCAGTCTCATGAAGTAAACATTTCCAAACTTATCTGCTCCTGCCATCGTATCAAAGTCTATGTGTAACGATGCAGTAAGCCACCTGGGACAGCTGTCGTCTGCAAATGTGTACAACTGATTTTCGTCCCTCCGATATTTGACATAGTGAAAAGACTGGAGCAAGAAATAAACAGCTCGTTAGGAACCACTGCAGTTATTCAAAACGAAAAACCACGAGCCTTAGACATCTATTCCTCACACAAAGCTGGTGGTATGTTTTATGTCTCTACATATCGTAAGCTAGACGGTTCTGGTTCCAAACCGCAAACGATGTCTAAAGACGTAAAACCTGAACCGAAGCGTTAAGTTTCGTATCCACTTGCTATATACATGAGAGTACACTTGTATACTAATTCCGTCTTCGTACTCAATAAAAACGAAAGGATTCCAGCTTCGACTAGCAAAAATCTTCGTCCCCTTAGGATATAAACGCAAAGAAACATCAGCCACTACCCGATCTGGTGTCACGTGCTTGACAACTATAAACACAAAATAAGATCCCAAAATGAAGAAAGATTTATCGCCCAATACCTCCTGTAAGTCTCCCACGTAGATTCTATCGCCATATGTGTGGATGGCGATGATTGTGTTGGGAAAGTTCTTGTTCTCACATTTTCGCAAAAGTTTCCTCTTTCCAAGATCATATATTCTCAGAACCTGACCAACACCAACTAGCAGACGTCCCTGGAATGGGCAAAGTGCAGTTGGTACACCATCCACCGGCGTCTTGTGTACAAGTTCTAGGGTTTTACCCTCATTGAGAAACCTGTAAATGTGTATGAATCCTCCCGTGGATTCTTTCCTGGGCCAGAACTTCAGATCCTTCGACGTGCCTACGGCTAACACTGTACCCAGTTCCTTATCATGGAAGGTTACCGTACAGACACTTAGTGCAGCTTCATTGTCCTGCAATTCCAACAGACAAGTTGTTTCTGCCGACTTAGGGTCCAAGACCCGGATGCATGAAACCCACTTGGTTGATACTGATTTTGGGTAGCCATATTGTGCATCAGGTAGGGGATCGTCATTCTCTTCTCCTTCACCGTTTTCTTGATCATCAACGTACATTTTACCATTCTCGGCACCCCCGGCTGCCTCAATGGCTTCCTTCTTATTAGCGTCGCGCTCCTCGGTGGTCAATGAGCCCATATCGCTTTCCAGGATAACAAGGGTCTTATTCTTCGGGTGAAGAATAAACTTCCGTGGGGTGTACCTAAGCGGCATGACAGTCTGGTTGAAAGTTTCTCCTAACCTTTCAATTGTGAAAACACGCAGAGCATCACCGGCCACAGCCACCACTCCTTCAGCGCACTGATCTGAAGAGAAGGAAGCCGCATATTCCAGAGTTTCGTAAGACAATGGTGTGAGAAGGAAATGACCTTGGTGAATGTAACCCAGCCAAGGCCTGCTGGAGAGACAGAGCATGGCGCGACGACCCCTGACGAGAGCAGAGAACAGTTTAGGGGCCCTTAGCCCTAAAAATCGAGTCCTGGTGTCTGAAAGCGATCCAGTGACCATGTCCACTTCGGTTCTAAGGAGAACACCATTTTGCAAACCTGCGCTAAGAAACACACTAGCAGGATGGTCCGCTCCATCCTCCCCACCGGTAGATGCCTGGACCTCCAGTAGGAGAAGTGATTCCGGGGGAGAAGAAACAGCTTGCATACTCAAAATCTGCATACAATCGTCAGGGTCAAGCGAAAGGATGCGGATTGTGCTGTCGTATGAACCCACGGCCAAAAATCTAGATCGCTGTCGACCTTCAGGCACTGGCGCAATATCCAAGCAGGCGACATCTCCTGACATTTCCCTCTTCTCTATTTCCATCAGCTGCCCTGTCATGTCCATTTCGAAGTAAATGAGCTCTCCGCCGCTCAACGCAATCACCACCTGCATCCTGTTGCATCCCACTCTCACTATAGTTTTCTTCCCCGGAGTTTTCCACTCGTTGATACGCCCATCTGCCCTGATGTGCCTGATTCCATTCGGGTGCACCTGCATCAAACTATCCTCACCCAAGAGGGAAACAGCCAGAGACGGCGTCGTATCTAAAAACCCACTGTCACTAACCTCCTCTACGGTTTCTCCAATAGACAACACCAATGTGGCGTTAACAAAAGACACCACAATGTAAGCGTCAAACTCATCGTTCACGCTCCTCTTCACGGTCCACACAGCGCTGGGTACTCCGGGAAGCTGAGACACGGCCATCTCCGTGACGGCAAGTCCGGGTCTCAAAATCCTTAAGCTAGACTGTGGTCCCTTCCCGCACAAAGCAAAAAGCTGTGGAGTCTCTTCCTCGAACAGATTAGCAACCTTCATATCCATGATAGGCATCAAGCTTTCAATTTCGTCAATCTGAACCAAATTCTTCAACTTCCGAGGCTGGAAAAACACCGGCTGAAAACCCTCCTCGGTCTCCATCAGGGTGGAAGACGACGATTCCACGTCCGACTCGTGCCCTATTCCCTGAAACTGATAGAGGGCATGATTGCCAAACTCCGAGGCGGCAAAAAGAAACCCTGACTTGAGAACGCACATGGCTGAGGTTACAGGTATGGTGTCAAAGTACCTGATCTTAAGTTCCGTAACCTGGTCATTTGAATCATAGTCCAAAGTCACCTTAAAGATGTCTCCGTACTCCGTCTGCAGAAGAAAGAAAAACATATTCTTTTGCTTGTGAGTGGCAGCTGAAACAATTAGCACGCCCCTCTCTGCAGGTAAGTCCGTTCTCCTGGGAATAACAGCCCTCACATCGGGACGGTTTTGATTTTTGTATATCACGAAATTCTCCGCACACACAAGCACTCCGCTGGGGCCATCTCCTCCTCCCGGAACTGTGACAAGCAAATTGGCACCATTGTCAATGGGTTCCGTCCACTTCCGAACCACATGGTTCAACCCCAAGTCCAGCTCGTAAAACGTCAAGTGCTTCTGCGCTTCAGCTGCGGCCTGCCCTGTGCTGTCCTGATCAGCCTCCGAGTAGTCCAACTCAATGGCAGCAAAAATTGGATTATCAAAACCGCAGTCCACCCCCGTTATAGAGTACACGATCGTATGGCTCTTGTGCGCCTCCAAAGGCGAGGAGATAGTGAGGCGAGCGGCATTATCCCGGTTCAGCACGTACACAAGCTTCTGCTTCTCGCAAGCTCCTATCATAACTGCTCGGCCCTTGGGATCAACAGCCAAATACTGCCCCGGGACTATGCGCCGACATCCCGACTTCCCGAAGGTTTCTTGGTGAACTTTCTCGAGGGTATTCTTCTCGCGATTGTACTCCAGAATCACAATCCTGCCGGAGTCCGAACCCACGACGATGTAGTCCTTCTGGGACCCGGTGAGACGAAACTGCACCAAGGACCGGATGGCTCCGAAAACCTCCACCGACAGTAGGGTTTGCAGTTTGCCGTTGTCATCGGGCCGAAGAATGTCGAGCACTTTTCCACGAGCGACGACAATTTCCTGCGTCTTGCCTCCGATGAAATTTCCATAAGTGGCGCACACGATTCCCGTCGCTCGCTGGAGCGACAGGCTATACAAATACATCCCTCCACCGGCGCTTCGTGCTCACTGCGAGAGCCCGATTGTGCCCCGACCGCGCGTCTTAAACCCCGACGCCGATTTCTCTCGCCTCCCGCTCTTTCCTTCGTTGGTTCGGACGAACGATCGCCCGCCCGCTCGCTCGACGTCCTTCTCGTCGGCCTCGGGTTCGTTCCTCTGGTCTCTCCTCTTCCCTTTCCTTCCCTCCGCTCGACGGCGCCCCCGCTTCTTGCCTCCCTCCCTCCCTCCCTCCCTGCGCCCCCTTCCTTCCTTCTGGGCTGCACTGTGCCAGGGGTTTAAACACCGCGCGCTTCTGCTGCCGCTTCTGTACTGTGGTCGCTCTACTGCTCGTCAACTTATTCATCCGTTCCCAGTCTTGCACTTGCATGTTGCCAAAAGGAGCACGCCGTTTTCTTCAGAGGTTCAGATTCTGAGTGACTCCCGTGAGTTCCATAACGATACATTCTGCATAATACAGTATATGAGGTGAATCGATGGAAGTAAAACTCTATTAAGTTCTGAAACGACTGTAATACTATTGTGGTTGTTTGTTGTTAGCGACGGTAACATGTGATGGTGTTCGAGGAATGAGTCAACGCGATGTTCCATGTTCCGGTTCAATATAGTGAAGATAGTTTTTAAAGGTCAAGGTCGGGGTTTCTATCGAATTAAATGTTCAGTCTATTTTATTCTCGTCATTAATGTGCTAATTTGGTTTACATTATTTGCATTCTAAAGACTTTAAAACCTATGCATGTGAAATGACATATTTACATCATATGGCATGTCCTCATTTGAATATGTGAATGTCATCATTGGTCATGACAATCCTGTACAAGACAATTTCCCTCACATTTGAACCAATTTGTGTTGTTGGATTATGTACAGTAAAAACTATTGGCTCCTACTAAGAGCACATGAGTAATCATTTCCAATTCAACGTTATTCACATCCATACTGATTTTATTTTTTTTGTATTGTTGAATATGCTGGAGATATTCTCTATAGGAAGTGATTGATTTAGGAATTGTGAAATAAATCAATGAAGGTTTTAAAGGAAGAAGCGTTGAAGTAGTAAAAACATTACAATGACACAAAATTCATAATGATTTTTGAAATCAATCGTTTAGATCTATCATCATAAGATGTGAAGATCAGAACAAGATGATAATATCTAGATGGACACGTAAGTCAACAAACTTAGGTGTAAATAACAAAAACTGTATTAAAATTATTTATTTATTCAATCATTGAGAATATTCACTCACTTACTTGACAATTGTGTCCGAACCAAGGTTCTGACAAAACTTCTGTGTACTTCAAATAATGATTACACACCTAGAGAATGCGACGTTAACACTGAACATGCTAATTTGTTAAATTGTTGGTATTGACATAACTTCATCAGTAAAATGATGAAACCAAAAAAACCATATGGCTGCATTGCCCTATGATACGCACATTAACGAAAGATTCTATCCTTCGAGGAAGAAATGGGGAACAAAGTCTGCATCCTTTCCCTCAGTATCAACATGATTCCAAACCTGTTTCTACGTTGGATGTAACTAAAGCCAAGAACAGCTCAAATATTTCCAGTGGTATGCAAGGAGTAGGTGATCAAAACTTGTGCACAAGAACGTTCTGCTCTCTTTCGGTTAACAGAGTCGGAGCATTATTCTCACGGAGCATTATTCTAAAACTCACAAGTCAACTTGCGTAGAAAAGGCCGGTGAGTTTGGCGGATTCACCGCCGTCCGATTCAGGATCGCAGACGACGTCACCATCAGAACAGAAACAACACTGCTCATTCGGAACGATCGTCGTATAGTCACGTCCAAATCCATATTCCGTCCACATTTCTGTAACCTCGATGACGCGCCGAGACCGAAACAGGAGTATGTGCCGATCGGATCAGCGGAGCTTCATGTCTGTGACAGAAGTATCTGGTCAACCGCTCTCAACGCGCAACGTTCGTCACTCCTGTCTCGAAAGACGCTCCCTGTGCGTGCGTGGATGTGCCGAGGGGGTTTTAGACGGGTTGTGGTCTCGCGCGCGAGCTCATGCTTGGAACGAGCCGAGAGGACTCCGTTCGCAGAATTGTCAGTCGCTAGTAATTAGTACAGGCAGTAGACTATGACGGTGCTACGACATGGAGAGCTGCGCACTGTGATCGCTTTCGTGGGTCTCAATACGTTGTTGTGTCTGTCTGTAGGCCCCGTTTACGACTTCGTCTGCGATCTGCCGTATTGGGAGCGTCGAGTGAGTATGCTTGAATGATTCCCTTACATAATTGTTTCTCAAACTGAAGGCTTCCACTGTTTTGAATTGTTTGCCCAATTTCTGTTTAGATTCTCTGCCGGAAGATAAAGAAAAGAAAAGATATCCGAAGCTATGTCGGCATTTTCATTTGGATGACAGGATCTGGAATTTATGAGCTTCATTTGCAGCTTCTTTTGATCTGTTATGTTGGCTATGATTTAAATCTTTCGAGATATCAGGGACTGCTATCAGTGTTGTGTATATTGGATTGCCAATTTTGCATCTGGTATTGCATGATGTGAGTGAAGTGGGTTGATCGCGCTGGGCTCATTGCCGTAGGAATGATTTGCAAGCATAGTATGTGATGCGACTGCATGATTTGAGTGGTTGCAGAGAGAGAGGCGCAGGCAGGAGCGTGAAACTGCCGCAGCCCTGGAGAGAAGTACACAACGCAACGCTGTTACGCAGGAAGATAGCGGGAACTGAATCTCTTGGTGACTTAGGTTTTTGATTTTTTAGGTGGGCATCATTCTTCTAACTGTCGAATTATTTCCTGTTCCTATCTTTTTATAGATCCAAGAAAATTGACCTCCTGAGCACGTACTTCTGCTTGTACTACTCTACGATAGAATGTTTCAATCTTGTTCTGTAAGGGAGATGAAGAGTACAAGAAATGTGCAGTGACAAGGGGGCTGGGAGCTACCACCTTGTGTCGTTTGGTTGCTCTTTTTTTCCTTTATCAGTCGTGTTTACGAATCTCGACATCGATGATGTACACAGGAGTATAGGGTCATTGTGACTGAAGAAAGTGGTTTGTGAACTGGTCAGAATCCCTTCCGAACACATGAAGTTGGGGGTTGCCTGGAGGAACATAGTTCGCTATGTGCGAACTGACCTGAAAGAAATTGCGTTTCCTTCATCTCTTCCTGATCCACCGTCTTCAACACCGAAACCGAGAAAGTTGACTTTTCAAGAGCACCTGCAGGTTGTTACGCCGCCCGGCCTTTGCTTTCGTTCCATTCCTATATAACCGACTTAGACGACGTGATGAAAAGGTTACGAGGGTTCTCCGTGCCGGAAGAAATTGAGCTCTTAAAATTTAAAGATCTCGAGCTCCTCTGTCAAGTATAGGTTTTAATTTTTTAAACGCATGCAGGTCCGAAAGCAGTTCATAGTAGCACAGCAGGACGTTTGTTGAATGTTAACGTGAAATTCTTCCAACCTTGGTAGGTGTGGAAAACAGCGAGCAACCTCTACATACAGAGCTGGAAAACCGGTACAATTGACGATGAGGAATTAGCAGCAAAGAAGGCTGACAAAACTCCAGAAGATCTTTCAGCCGTGGAGGAATTAGGTGAGATAGCCAATTGTTCAAAAGTTTGTAGCGGGATCCGGCTGCAGCAAATTTTGATATGCATTGTGTCAACAGCATCGTTTTTAATTGTGTGGCGAACGAAAACGTGAGCGTGTGGTTTTTCTCCTTTTCATCGTTTTGGTCATGAAGAAAAGCTGTCAAGATTTGAGAGAAAGAAGTGTTTTACATTCTATCACCACTCCTAACATCGTGATGTTATCATCGTTTGGCAGCTCTTGCGGCTAGAGCGGGAGGTGAAAAGTTGAGGCCTGCACTTCAACGGCTTTACATGACTAGAGCTGCTGCTTACAGGGATGCTCTGAGAAGTTTTGTTGAGGGTTATAGAGAAGGCATCGCTGAAGTCATGGCGTCAGATCCGTTCCAGGGTTTGAAGGGAACCGGACTAGGTAGTGACTTTCATTCACAAGATGGACCCTTAAAAGCTGAAAGTACTGCTTCCGATCAGCCTCTACAGGAAGAGAAAGTGAAGGGGAAAGAAGCTTCGTGATATTGGCGTTTACTGGACATGTGACTCTTTTGTATCCAGATGAATTTTGTATCATAACATGTCAATGCAATCCTTGAAGTCCGATGGTGTTAACTACAACTTCTAGCAATGCAGACCAATATCTTGACCTACCAGTGTCTTTGTGAAGTGCGATCGAATCACAACCATAAAAGAGTCTGTTCTTTTACCTGTTTAGAGCATTGCAGACATTCTCGACCGTGAGCGGTATGCACATATCTCTAGGAGCCACATGGTTACTCCGTCTTCGTGTGGTGGAATCATAGCTTCCGAAATTTGTGAACGAGAGTGCACACATTATGGAATGCATCTGTCCTGATAATTTGAAGACCATTTTTACAGGAATGAGGAGTGCGAAACCAATATGGAATGCATCTGTCCTGATAATTTGAAGACCATTTTTACAGGAATGAGGAGTGCGAAACCAATCTGCGCGTTCTCGCGGAAGAAATTGTGAACATGACCGTCACGACGCGCAGAGAAAGATCAGCGGAATTTATTGGTCCTCTTACAACCATTAGATGAAGTGTGCGAAAAGCGACAGTAAAGCACAAACCCTAAACAGCAGATGAGGAAGAGGCTTGCCGTCACGTACACGTCCGTCCGGGCTCCAAACTCTACAGAAACATCTTGCACTTCCGTAGATGAGGATCCGACACTCGCAGTCGTTATTGAAAACCTGGGCCGGTAAACACGCACAAAACGCAGTTGTTGCACACACACACACACACACGGTGCTGATTTGTCGTTGTCAGTGCCTGTAGGTCTTCCTTTCTAAAGATGCAGTTCTACTACAGCAGCAAACAAGTAATGTTCCGAAGCGGAGTAATATTCCCTCGCAGATTCCTCCAAGTTCCAGACAAGCGCTCGCTTGAAGAGTCTTTGAAGCCCAACGGCAGCGCACGTAGGCAACGTATCTCCTCTACACTATATATACATAAACGATTGCTTCTCTTTATCTCTGCGAAGTCCTCAATTAGGGTCTTCAAACCTTATATAGCTTACTGACCGCTGCGCGGACCTTATTCGCTCTTGATCCTCGAACTCCAAATTATCGCACATAAGATAAGCTTATCATATGAATGGGACGGAAGGAGAAAGCAGACAATCCCACCAGGAAATTTGAAGAAAGTTGAACATTAAAGATGTGAAGTCCTAGTGGTTTGCTCTAGCTTCGTTACGTGTGCGTGCAATATGACTATACAATACAATATCCAACTCTGCCCGTGCATTCTCAAGCAAATTGTGCTAAGTTGTCTCCGTGTGCTTAGATTTGCTTTGCGTTTTATTGGTTTTGATCAGGTTCAACACACGACGAAAATATTGAATAGTAAGTAGGCCCCAGAGCCAAAAGCGGAAAAAATAAATAAAATTTGCTACGAATTCCAGCTAACGGGGTATTCCTGTGTATGAAAACATAGTAATAGACAATGTAATAGCTAAAAAAAGATCATTTTTCCAAAACTTTATTTATTTATATTTCCAAAGCTGAGCAGTTGGCTCAGCTTTGGAAACAAGCTTTCCCACTGGACTGTTCGAGACCCACCCAATCAGTAAGACGAGAGCGAACTCCCTACAGTCTCGTTATCGACCGATGGACGAACGGTGCAGGGAAACGAACCGAAACGCGGTAATGGAAGGAGGTGGATTTGAAATGAATAGCAGTCACTCATATGACGGGATATTATTTTGAAATACGAAATGGAGATATATATATCTGACAACGGCATGTGTGCGGTGAGCAATGCATTTGTTGTCTATATTTAAATTTCCGTATTTGAGCTTCTGGCCGAATGCTATTTGACTTCCTATTCATGTAAAATGGTTCATCACGTCTCGTACTGTGGTCCCAGGATGGAGGCGCGCACATATAAAGGAAGAGTCGGTACGTCTAGCTGGTCACGCACAGCGAGTATGAGAATGGTCGGCCGTCGTCACAGTATCGAGAGTTGGCACGGATCGAATGAGCAGCAGGTGGATCCTGCACGGTACTGTAGCTAGGGCAATGCGATAGAAGAGCTGCGCCACAGTGCCGGTACTTCCTGCACTGATTCGTGGCAGCGGACCGCAAAGGCAGAGAGAACGGCATGACGGAAAGGCGGGAGAGTGTCGGCGGAAGGCCACGGAGGTGCGCGCAGTCGGACCGCAAACGGAAAAGGAGGAGGAGTTCCGTGCATTGCACGTGTGATCGACCGCACTGCCGCAGCCCGTTGCATCCGATCGCATCGAGCGAGCGCATTATAAGTGGAAAGATGGAGGCACGCCGATTGAACCAAGCGCGACCTCCTCTTCTTCTGCCCTCTCGTCCGCCCGCCGCTCACTGTCCTCTCGCCCTCTCCTCCGTCCTCTCCTTCCGCGCTCCACTTCTCTTTCGGATTTGGGCAATGGCCTCGCCCCGTGCGTGAAGCGCAGTCGTCTGTACACGGTCCGGCGCTGGACTGGAGAGCCGGAAGTCGGCAAGAGAGAGGGGGACGGCCGAGAGGAGCGGGCCCTTTTGGTGTAGCTGAGAGTGAGAGGGAGTGGCAGCGGCCGAGCGAGTGCCTGTGATCGACAGGCTCCCGGGGCCGAGCGAGCTTCCATGGTGCTCGATGTTGGTCGAATGATGCGTTGCGCGAGCCCGGGCAACGTTATGGATCTGAACTCGGCCAGGAGCTGGCGTCAGGGGTGAGGACGTCTTTGCAGAAGGCTGGAGAAGTCCGAGGCGCACGAGGACGAGGACGAGGAGTTCAGGTTGGGTGGGGTTTGATTCCGGGGTTTTACCTAGAGGTCGATCGGAGTCCGGGCAGTGTTCCGGATTCCGGCCGGGAGGAGGAGCAGCAGGAGGATCAGGTGGAAAGAATAGGAGGCGAGCCGGAGGCAGCAGCTGTAGAGGAGCAGAGCAGAGCAGAGGGTGGAAGGCAGGCGCTGGCGAAATTAGTAGACCACAGGTGGATTGGCTGAGGAGTGATCGAGGTGCGGGGAGCTTCGGTGTAGAATAATTTCTGGGACCAAATGGATCTTAATGTGGCCCCTTCGACCGACGAGGATGAGGAGGAGAAGGTCGAGTCAGCCGTGGACACCATGCGCAGGGAGAGAGAGGAGCGCAGGTTGATGATGAAAAGGAAGAGGGAGGAGGAGCGGCTTGAAGCTAGGAACAGTAAAACCACACTTGCTAGGATACCGAGGCATGAGAAGTCTCGGACTGCGGGCCTGAATCTCCCCGAAGGTAATTTTGAAGAGATTTTAAGGCTTAGTTTGCGGCCAATTACGGGCCGATGGGTAAATACAGCCTCCGAACGTTGGCAGCTTGAAGAAATTCGTCTCTCCCTCATGGCGCGTCGGGTTTAATTTGGTCATTGTGGAATGTGTAGGTTGGTTGGATTGTCCTAGCATGGGAGAGCCCTGCGCAAATTTGTTCATTCCAACAAAAGTGCCTTTGGGTGAACGCTTCAATGAAGTTATCCCAGCTGGAAAACGGTTTTCCAAGACACATGTTCTGCGTCATCAACGTGCCAACGCCCGCGAGGTCGGATTGTGTTTCGTATTGTTTTAATTGGAAAATTTATCGCACACCTTCGCAATCGAGCATCCAAGCTAGAAGAAGTTTTTACGGTGCGAGTGAAACTTACTTGAAATCAAGTGACCTCACTGCGTCACATGTGGCAGATTGCTATGGTGATCGATTTGACCAACACAAGTCGTTACTATCAGCCTCAGGAGTGGGTGAAAGGAGGGGTCAAGCACGTCAAGGTATATTGTGCTACTTCTGTACCTGCAGGAGGACATCCTGAAATGGATTCAATTATGGTGTCTGGCCGATTTTAGGCTGATTACTTATGGTTGTGCCTGTCTTGAGCAGGTTCCCTGTCGTGGACGTGATGAAGTACCAGAGCCTGAAGCTGTCAACCAGTTTGTGTATGAGGTAAGGTCGACAGGTGACGCGCCGTGATAAATTCCAAATTTGGAAACTCAAAACTCCCTGTCGCCACGGAACTTTGTGTCACTGTAAATCAGTGTTCAAGTGTTCCTCGAGACTGTCCACTCGGTTGAGCTTCTTACTTTGGTGGTTGGAATTGTGTAGGTTATAAATTTCGAGCACGGCGTTAACACAAAGCAACCCGGTGTGAAGAAATATGTTCTGGTACATTGTACCCACGGACACAATCGTACCGGGTTTATGATCGTGCATTATATGATGCGAACTCAATATACAACTGTCGAGAAGGTACTGGTCGTTTGCCATCGTGTCCTTCATTGTGAAGTGGCTGTTATTTAACAGATTATCGGTACTTTATCCATTTATATTCTGCACTAAGCTTTCCTCTTTGTGTCGCTGCAGTGTATTCGGACGTTCGCACAATCAAGACCTCCAGGAATTTACAAACAGGACTATATTGAGAGTCTATACACTTTCTACAATGAGAAGCGGCCAGAGCCACTGATCTGTCCTAGCACTCCTGAGTGGAAAAGACCCACAGAAGTTGATCTCAATGGAGAAGCAAAACATGATGAAGAAGATGACGACGACGAGAGTATCCTAGCTGCTCTTCAGGTCTTAACTCCCATCAGTTCTACCCTTTTAAATAGCTTAAGGACACGTAGGATACACATGAAGTTGTTTCGTGTTCTAGTTGTTGTCTGTTTATTAATAATGTTGTAACACATACTTCATGACCGTGTAGACCCCACCGAAGAACCCTTAACGGCTACTGACTAACTTGGTTCGATTGAGCAGGAAGATGCGATCGTTGGACCCCTAACAATGACCAACGATGATGTACTAGGGGATGGCATTTCGGATGAGCAGCAGATGGAAATGCAGAGATACATTTGTTGTGCTCTGGAAACGGTAAGGCATGAAGTCAATCTCATCGTTTTCACTGGGTTGGTATTATAGACTAATAACAATCCTCACACCGGTATCCGTAAGTACACGAACCAGCCATCGGCGCTTTCCAGTCCAAAGGCTCAGTCATCAAGTTCTAGTGAAATCTGCGTTTGGCCACCCTTAAGTCTCTCCCCTCTTTGAAAGCAGGGTTATGAATCAGCGTTGCTTGACTTGTTTCTTCGTGCCAGTTAGGCGTGCATAAGAGAACAGTCAATGCCCTCCTGTATTCATGGTGTCGCTGCCTCCTTCTCGGTGATTTGCAATGAAATGGGCAGGGCAGAGCAGAGCAGAGCAGGAGTTGTTGTTACGTTATGATGATGTGCATGTTCGTCATTCATGTTGATGCTCATAGCACATCCATGACATAGCACATGCGCTGACATCTACGTATATTTGGCGTTCATTCCAGCTGGGGAAGCCTGGCCAGCAGCAGCAGACCCATTCGTTGAGATTTCCAGGTTCACAACCAGTCTCTCTTGACAGGTGAGAGCACTTTAGTGCATCCCCTACGACAATTTATTGACTTTGAAATTATGTTTCATTTTATTTATGACAATGTGCGTTTGGTTCAGGCAAATATTTGGAGTTATCTTAGACTCAATCCTTTGATCATGTAGTCATATGCATAGATCTTTTAGTAATATAGATTTTGAAGATTTTTCACTAATATTTTTATTATCCACTCAGGAAGAATCTGCAGTTGTTGAGACAACGATATTATTACGCAACATGGAAAGCGGACGGAACGCGTTATATGCTCTTCCTTACACGCGATGGATGCTACCTGATTGACCGTAATTTCCGGTTTAGGAGGGTTCAATTGAGGTTTCCAACAAGGGTAGATCTTCATTCTTCATCTACATCTGTTCAATGATTGTGTCGGGTAATATATAGTACGAACAGATACTTCAAATCTACTGACATATTTTTGGAATCATCACTGATGCTTACTAGTGCTCAGGTAGATCATGGATCCTTGGTTTCATTGTAAGCTCCGTTGGTTGTTTTGGACGAATTATATCACCGATAGCTTTATTATGTAGAACGAGGGTTCTCTCGGCTACACAAGTTACATACTCAGTTTGTCTACAGTGATTAACTCCGTTCGATATGTGTACGCAGAAGAGCAAAGAAAACTACCCAGACTACCATCATCTCACTCTTTTGGATGGCGAGATGGTCATTGACACTGTTCCTGGCTCAAATGTTCCGTCAAGAAGATACCTTGTTTACGACTTGATGATTCTCAATTCAAAGTCACTTATAGTGGTAAAGACAGATTTGTGCTCATTTGTTTTCATGCAATAGGTGCCAACAGTTTACAGTTTAGTCGCTTATTGATTCATCCTCGATTTAGAGAATCTTGCCAAAATTTTGTACTGAATTGTTACTCTTGTGTTCCACTTCGTTGTTCATTCCGTAACAGTGCCCTTTCAGTGAGAGGTGGCAACTTATCAAGGATGAAGTGATTGACCCTCGCTCAAAGGAGAAAGCACAAAAAGGACTAATTTACCAGTATGAGCTGGAAAAATTCTCGGTGAGTACACGTCTTGTTATCGTCCATAAATAATCTGAGTAGTATGTTCTTCTTTTGATATCTCTGAACGTCCATGCCAAAATGTTGGTGTTTTTGTTTGCTAATTTGTTGTTATTGTGGATGTTTATCTCGGAGCAGGTGAGGAGAAAAGATTTTTGGATGTTGACAACTACAGAAAAACTACTTTCGGACTTCATTCCAAAACTCTCTCATGAGTCAGATGGTCTTATCTTCCAGGTTTGTCGCAGATCGTTTAGCCACGAAGTGGTTTTGGCTAGACTTTGCTGTTCTTTATCTTTCCCGCTTTCATACAACGTATATCAGTTTGAGTTTCTTTTATTTCTGAACTTTTTTAGCCCATCCGTATTGTTTATCTGTGGACAGGGTTGGGATGATTTATACGTGTGTCGGACGCACGAAGGTCTTTTGAAGTGGAAATATGCTCGGATGAACTCTGTCGACTTCCTCTTACAGGTAATGTTTATAGCTTCTTTGACCCTGAAGTTACATTTGAAGCAAGAATTTAATTAGCAAATTTGCTGTTTCCAAAACATGGATTAGTATGCAGGGAAGAGTGTATCACTTTAGGGACATCTTGTTTTTATTTGTCGTTCCACTTACTCGTAAAATGGTTTGAGACTCTTTACGATTTAGTTGGTCAATGTAGGTTGTAGCCACAGTAGCTCAATTGCAATATGTGGCGTGCAGATCGCACCCACAACAGGTCAATATTTACTCCTTCTGATGGAAAGGGGAGGGAAATTTAGGCAGCTGGATGGAGCACATGTTACATTTCCTGGTAAGATGGACTTCTGAACCTGTTGTCAGCTTGCAAACATGCTAAGGAATATTAATCGTTGGAAGAGACTATGAAATGAGAATCACTTGCTTGTTGTTACCTCTCAGTAGTCACTCTTGTTGTTCTCACAATTGTTACTCTAGAGTCTTGTTTCTCTAGAAGTGGATTTTAGTTTATCATTTGGATACCTAATGAGTGTGTAACACCTTGAACATTTGGATCAATTGCAGACGATCAAGATGTGTCTTTAATGAATGGGAAAATCATCGAGTGTTCTTGGAACCCGGAGGAAAATCAATGGGAGTTCATGCGCATCCGTAAGGATAAGGAAACTCCTAATGCACGGCATGTGTATGAGAAGGTAATTTCAGTTGGAATGCTTTTGTGTTTTAAAGTCGTGAAAGTGGAGTAAAGTTGCGAAGCAGCTTAACATTGTCTTCACATACTTTTATGGCAGGTCATGTCGAGTATTCAAGATAAGATCACAGAGGACGTATTGTTAGAGGAAATACGGGAGATCTGTCGGTTACCTATGTACGCGGAGCGGATTGCAAGGACGCATCGAGAGACGCTGAACGCAGAGCGGATTGCAAGGACCCAACGAGAGATGATGAAAAAGAACGCTCTTCTTCCTCAAAAAAGAGCCCGCGGGAGATAATGTTCGGTTTTGTCCTCTGGATGAGAATTGCCTGTGGGACAGAGAGCGCGCTGTAGCACATTCTTGAAGGGTGCGATCTGAATTCTGGGCGTGATTGTCGGGATTCATTGGATCGAGTTAGTACGCTACAAGCCTGTCAGCTGTTCTATAGATTGAAACTCTGGCACACAACAGTGATTGCGTCTGTGTATATCAAAGGAAAAGAGTTTGCTGGTACCAATATACTTTAGATCACTAGTTCATGTACAGATGAGTGGTCCACTGAATGTGGATGAAAATTTTCAAAATGGGATCTTTCCCTAAATTGGAGCTTCCCATGGTTTTCAGATTTTCAGCTACCACTTACACAAGAATGCGACATCAAAAAGGAAGGTGGTGTTTTTGCTCGAGGATCCTTGTCTCAGATATTATTTTCCTCAGTGCCATTGGCTTTCAGAGGCTGAGAAGATGTTGTTTGCTCCTTTCCTGCCTGATTTATCAGAATTCTCGAATTTCAATCCAAGCAAATTAATTTATGGAACCTTTTAATACTTGTTTGCCGTGTGTATTGCAATTCATTGCTGGAGGAGAGATATGTCAGTATTGGTCTTGAAGATCGTCTCAAGCCTCGGAAAGTTAGTACACCTTGTAGTAGAGTGCAATATAGACGGGGATCACTTACTTCTGTACTCTGGTCGATAACAGTGACGAGTTTGAAACCATTAAATTCTCACTGTTTTTTGACAATATGAGAGCAGAGTTTGTCTATGGATAGTATTGACCTTACATCAAACGAGTACTGGAGAAACCTATGCTAGCGTGATGATAAACGCGTGGAATATAAACTGTAGACACCTATTGAAACACCGTCTGATACTGATGGAAGGAAAGAATCGATCAAGACATGTCTCCTTGGACGAGCATGTCTGTGAGATGTGATCGGGACGGGAACTGTAACAGCATATGTAATATCCGATTATGTGACTGCCTTGACGAGGAAAGTTTAATGTTGACGAGTATAGATCAACTGTCAACTCTTTGGATCCCAACGAATGTTTGGATCATACCGCAATACGCAATGCGAAGACGGTGTTCAAAGGTGAGTGAGGAGAAAGGAACGTATCAAGTTATAACACATAAATCGTGAAATAGACTTAAGATAAAAATATCTAAAATCAAGTTTCTGAATAAGGATGCAATAATATATAGCAACTTCAAATCACGTCTCTGAGGAAGGATGAAATCGCTTTTAGCACAGTATGAATGTAATGTGTCAATCCAGATTGTAAAAATACTAACAAAATGACAAAGAAAAAGAAATAGCTATGGGGTTCAATTCCGCACAATTTAATGAGTTATTGAACTCTACAAGCCTAGCTATCAAGTCTATGTGCAAATTTATCATCACCACGTCTATGTATTATCCATGTACCGCTTGATGGGGTCTAGTCATTAATTTTCCATCTATTTGAAACTCTTTCATCGAATATCAACCTCAATCGTAGGTTGATTTCCAGACGTACCAAGGGTGAGAAGAGATACTAGAGCAAGAGAATATTCCCATAAGACATTCCTTGTTCCATTATTGTAATATTATTCTCTGCCCAACATCTAGAGTCAATAGACCAGTCTCTTAGTTTTTTTAATTTGGATTCAAGTGGTATGGTATTGGAATTACATTCTTCATTACTGTGTAATATAGGAAGGGTTTGTGTATAATTGGAAGGGTTTGAGTGATTTTCCTACAATCAGACTTCAGTTCAATCTTCATCTTTTTTTTTTCTTGCATCGGTACTATAAATACCTGATTCAAAATTTTTGAAGATCTACATAAAAATATAAGTATCTGTAGATATCAGGTTTTATCATAATCATGATATTTCATGGGAGATGAGGTGTGATTTTGCATGTGGATGTTGATTCATGATGCAATGCTGTCTATTTTAAATTTCTATTCTAGCTATAGTTACAATTCTTCCTCATGTGACAATCTAGAGCAGCGCATACATAATATTGGATGAGTCTTTAGTTTTCTTGCACTTGCAAGAGTTTAAGATGATGTGTTCAAGGTTTAGAAGAATCATTATTGGAACATTTGTGATACACATTTATCGTCTGTTAAACACAAATATCAAATAAATTCTTTCCGTGTACCTTGACATAGTCATGGATGTCATTAACATACATCTAGATTGTTTTAACCACATTCGTATGCACTACAATATACCTTATATCATATCAATTATTTTATTAGCATGTAAAATTTTGGACAATTAAACATGTTTTTTTTCTCAAAGATATCTATCTTATATTAGATAGTAACTTATTTGATATGATAAAATTGCATCAAGTTTAGATTTACTTTCAAGATGACATTTGATACCATTGTAAGAGGAAGACAAACTACTCTAAAATTAATTTCATGTGATTGCATTTGATTTATAAAGGTGTTTTTTTGCAAAATTTGAACTGACAAATGTTAGTTTGTTGCTACTATCTATTGTTTAATGTACGGTGATTAAAGCAATATTAGTCAAAAATTTGATACTTTACTTATGTAACATGACTACTCTTTTTTTTTTCTAGAAAATTATATACAGATCTTGTATCAATCAAATAAAAAAATAAATGCTAGTGTTATTTAATTTTTTTGGTCTCAGTCAACAAAAAATTTAGTTTATTATATTAAATGTTATATTAAATTATATTTTCCTAGATTTTGTATGAAAAATGGCTGCTATAATCTAAAAATAAATAAATTCTACTCTTATTATTAAAATAATGTAAAAATGTTTTCAAATAAGTAAGAAGATGTATGAAATATTAAGAATTAATTTTGTAATACATGTTCATGTAGGATTCTTATAGTATATGATAGATTTTTAACATTTTTTATTTTCTCATTCTATCATTAAGACACTAATTGTGAACCTATGTGTGTATGGATTCAGATCTTATAAACTCTAGACTTTATCAAATTTTTGAGAAAGATATATTATAATCACATGTTTTTGGTTAAAAATCATTGCAGATTTGCAAAGCTCTTCTATGTTAAAATTTGAAATCTGCTTCAATAGCATGCATTGAAATACAATACTATTTGATTGGGTTATATTGATGTTTTGTTATGTGGATTTGAGACACAAAATTAAACATCAATAATGCAATGTAATGCCTTGCATTTCAAATTCAAAAACATGTATTAATTTCTTGTTTTCTTAATTTTATTAAACATTATTTTGATCTACTAACTTATAGATTTAATGATATGTGAAAATATAAAATTTTTTGAATAAAAAATGTTTATTTTTATTGTAAAAGATAATATTTTTGAAAAATAAATACAGATGTTACTTTATTTATAACTAAGCAACAATGATCGTTTATTTCATATGAATATTAAGTGATATTCTTATTATTTAAGCATATGAAATGAGATACTTAAATTTTAGTCTGAGAGGTATAAAGGATTTTTTTAAATCAATTTTGAAAGATGGCAGTAAGTTTTTATTGCAATATTAGTTTCTGATCAAAACAGTACTTATCTTTATTAAAAAGATTTTTTATTTTTTTTTGGATATTTAACATGAATTTTAAATGAAATGAAATTAAGCAAATAATATGTTGATATGACATTATAGTTTTTGATATTTTGATATAGCATTATGAGTGATTGCCAATAATTTTAATTATATTTATATTTGATAATTTTTAATTTCCATGTTTATTTTGAGATTTCTAATAAAATTGAAAATAATTGCGCTGATCTTTTTAATAGAAAATCTTCACATTTTTGTCAATCGATTAACCTTTGATACCACGTAGTAATTGGCATGACTTTTTGTAATGTTTTTTAAAAATTGTGTATTTTAAATAGATTTTCATTTTAAAAGAATCTTCAAATTAAAATGGTATGAAAAATATATTGCAATCTTTTTATAATATTTCTTAAAATAAATCTATTGATACGCTTCATTAACTAGTTGAATGTTATTTAGTTAGTCAATATAAATAAGTCATTGTTTAAATAAGTAATTTTGAAATACTTAAAAAAGTTTAAGCTTAATCATGATCACTTAACAATTTATGTAGATCTTAAGATTCAATGTGCATAAACATGGGCGGTTTGATTCATTTACATGCACAAAAATCTTTGACATGTGAAATTATTGTTCGATGCAAAAAAATGTTAATTTTCTACTTTACTATATTCATGATACATGTTCATAATTGAACCACATGTGACAGTACTCGTTGCATTTAGTAACTTTGTTCTGGTTGTAGATGTAACTACAATATATTTCACTTATGTGCAAACCTCTCTCAATATGGAATTCCGTTAGTGGTGTTTCGTATGTTAGGTAATTTATTTTCAAGAAGTTACGTATTTCAAATTTAATTTTTTTCTATATCAACGTGGCGTTACGAGAGAGTGATTGAAGTTCAACATTTTATTTCCATTGCACCGTTTCGGTTGATAAAAGCTTTTAAAATATCCTTGTTGGTTAAAAAAGCACTCGCATCAATATTTAATTTAGGTATCGACTAGTTATTCATCACTTTTGGTTAATTATTCCTCATCTTACTAACTACCGTTTGCAGAGATTTGTGATTGTTCAGATGCAGAGACGGACAACTAACAATGACGGAACCGTATTCTTCACCGTCATGCATCAAGTACTCTTTCAGAGTTTCACTCTAGATGCCTCGCTTTGCGAACCGCTCCTTGACTCCCTCCACACGAACTAATTTTTGTTCTTTGAAGACTCGCCGCACTCTGTTGCGGATTGGATGTGTACTAACAAGTCCTTGTTCGCAGCTACAGCGATCAGTGCGTCTGGATCTAGCCTCTCGAATTTCTCTTGGAGAAACTAGAGCGTGTCTCTTGCAAGGCCGGAGGTTAAGAGATTTTTCTGCAGCTGCGATCGTCGAAGAATAAAAAATGGTTATAGTCAAAAAACCTTCATTGCATTGAAGGTGCCAAAGGAAGGTGACGATGGTTCTGCAATTGCTTCACCAAGCTATGTCATGACTAGGAGATTCTGACACCACCAAGCTAGAATTTTGCTGCATTTTCACGGGAGACAAGAGGTCACGGTTGGATGCGTGATGAGGTGAGACTCCCTAATCCCTGATGGCGACGGAAGCAAGAGAAGGAGTGGCCAAACTTTTACTGCGGGGGTGAGAAAGTTGAACAGATAGGGGTATTAAGGGTCAATTGTTGCTAACTGGCAATGACGGAGATCTCGTACCAGTCACGTCCCTGCATCTGACCAATCCCAGTCTATAGAAGAGAGTATCATAGGGTGAGGGATAATTAGCCAAAAGTAAGGGATCACTAGCCAGTCCCTTAATCTAACTAAAATTTTAATAATCTACTGCCTCTACAGAAGAGAGTATCATAGGATGAGGGATAATTAGCCAAAAGTGAGGGATCACTAGCCAGTCCCTTAATATAACTAAAATCTTAATAATCTGCTGCCTGAATCCCGATATATTACACTAAACTCGCTACAAAGTGACTATACAAAGTTGTAGATTGCAAAACTTTGTTTCAACCCAAACACCTACTACAATGCATTGCAAATCATGATACTCAATACTCAGACAAACTTGTTAAAATTGATTGGTTGGTTTGGCTTGAAATTCAGCATGTTTTGGAATCACTTTGCAATCTAAGCAAGCGCGAAAGTTCAACCTGGTGAGTTTGAACATATTGACTCCTATTTTACCTCATGATTGCAACTTTGAAATTAATCGGATGTAGTTCTGAAATGTCAAGATAGTTTGGAAGTTTTTTGGCAACAAAACTACATTGATCAAATAGTGAATGAACACACACAGCTTATGATCTTTGTGCATCATGAATATCGACTTTGCCATGACTTAAATCATTTGATAAACAAATCTTATCTGATTTTAGTAGAGATTCCATTTCAGGACTATTCTAGACATTAGGTGTACTCATGGAGTTCTTTGTAGGATTAGTATACACATTTCCAAACACCACCACCTGAGAAAGCGATTTTTCAATGTTGAAATGAAAAAAGTATCAAAAAGAACATCCATATCTCTTTGAAATTTTATTCAAATTCAAACATTTTTGAAGAAAACAAGAGAGTTTTATACTAAAGTCCGTATGTTATTAATTTTGTTTTGATGATAATCCTTATTTTGTTGAAATAAGTAACATACAGAAAGTTTCCTATATAGAGAGGCCCGCTAATGTGTGTTTCATAATTGGCGGAGAGAATGTTATGATGCAGTCTTATTTATTCATCTGTGGTATAAATGTTATTGTATAGAAATGCATCATACGTGCATAAAATTATTATGCCGATCCGAACGTTTGTCTATACATAAGAGGTGAATACGCTTTATAAGATTTTCTTTCTATCTTATCGCATGTATCACAATTAACCAAAGTTAATACTTGTGGTGGCTTTTACAGGGATGACTTTTCTACCTAGTCTGCATCATTCCATGACCGAGTGTCCCTAACCTCATTTAACCGAACTCTGGGAGAAGATTGCCAGAACGAGTAAAGTGGAGACAGCTTAAGTGTGTGTTAAATCTGAACGAAGGTATATAATCGTTACGTGTTAAATACATGGATGGGACCAGAGCACTTCGACACTTTTAAACTCTGAGCATCTTACTTACGTTTAAAGGCGACAAATCCTACACACACTGTGGCAATTACAGGTTACTCCTCTGGTAAAAGCTTCCTCTCGTCTTCCGACAACATTGCTGTCGGGGACTCTTGTTGGATAAAATAATGAATGTGTGGAATGGTTAAGGTGTGAGCATGTATAAATTTCTTAATTACATCTCATCTGACATGTCCAGCGCCTGTAGCTCAGTGGATAGAGCGTCTGTTTCCTAAGCAGAAAGTCATAGGTTCGACCCCTATCTGGTGCGACGACCTTTTGTTACGTAGCGTTGAGTTTTAATAGCTCACAACGAACAGGTTAATTCTTTTCAGTTGAATCATTTCAGCACCTATCGAGATCAGACCCTCTTTCTCACCTTTTTCTCCTTGCGTCTAAACAGCCGTCGGCCCCTATCTGGCCCGCAACCCTAGGGGTAGAGCTCACGGCATTGCAACAGTTGCATTCAGTTGTATGAGTTCAGCACCTATCGACATCAGACCCTCTTTTTCACCTTTTCTCCTTTCCTGTCAAAAGCTCTGGAGTTCTGAATCGTGCATTCATGCAGGCTAAGTACTAAGACCCCATGCTGCGCCAGGAATCTGTGGCGGAGTCAATCGGCCCCTACTTGAACGTAGGGAGTGATCTGCCTACAACATCGCAGTAGTCTTTGATCAGTTCAGCACCTGTGGAGCCAGCCTCTCTACCTGTGCCCATCCTTTTTACTTTGAATTCTTTCTGAAAAAAGCCCTCGAGTTCTTCTCAGATTTCGTGCATTCATGTCTTTTCAGTTCAATCAGTTCAGCACCTATCGAGATCAGATTCTCATTTCAACTTTCTTCTTTTCTTTCTATGCGTCCAGAAAGCCCTCGAGTTCACAAGAGATTCCTGCATCATGCAGGCTGAGCAATATGACCCCATGCTGCGCCAAGTCTCCATTGTCATAATAGAATACAGTCTGTCGGATCGAGGATCAATTCAGGATGGTGACCCGGTGATTTTACGGATTTATTAGTTCTCCCCACACCTCTCGCTATCTTAAATTCTACCCGCTGTTACCTTCGAACAAATCACACTCCTCAACAATGAACATGCCAATGGCTCCTCTCAACGCCCCTCGGAATGACCGGTACCTACATTTGTTCACCATAATATCTCCATGTCTGCCATTCGCTTTGGATCAACTTCGAAATAGCATCCAGCGAGATTTGGGTGCACATTTGAGCTGGGATTCCAAAGGTGGGGAATGAAGATGAAACCACATGATCACAAAGTGTTCTTCACGATCGATGTTGACACTATCATAGAATTCAGCGTTAGAGTCAGACTGCATCATTCTCGATTCGATGACTAAGGTGGTTTCGAAGATAACTCAGAAAAATGATAACCACTTTGATATGGACTATGCATCCTCATAAGTTTTTTTGATGGACAACCTTTCAAAGTCAATGGACCACATGACCTCATCACTTACAGCCATCATTTCTCAAGAAAGCCAATCTGATATTTGTACACTTAATTATAGAGAGTGTGGGTATTTCATCAAAAGATAAGTTCGGAAAATTTATTAAAGAGGGATTAAGTAATTTAACTTGTGCACATTGTTTCAGAAACTTCCATTTGTTTCAGCAAAGTTTATCAAGTGCTCAATTTCTTGGCCGGATCGAAGTGGCACCCGCCCTTCCGGTCATGGCTGCGGCGATGCCATGGAGCTGGGGGAGGCCACCGAAGCAGCCGGTGACATAGCCGTTGGGGGGCCTGGCCGGAGAGATCGCACGGCGTTTGAAAAGGCCGGTTGAGTCCCGACGGCCGTACCGTACTCTGCTGCCCCTGCGGAACGTTTCGCTTCGTTCCCGCCACGCGGGCTCTCCGATCGGCCATCGATCAGTTGTTGCCAGCAGCTTCGAGCTCGAGGTCTCAAGAAGGAACAAATGAACGTCGTGCATCTCGAGATGCTGAAGCGTTTGGTTGCTGGAGTAGCTGCCGATCGCTCTGTGTTGTGTCTCTTTTCGCGGAGGAGGTAGTGCAGCCGTTGGATGAAGAATTGGCGTCGGTTCTTATCAGCTTGCAGATGACACATCGTCATGAAACAATCCTCTGCAGCAGCAGAAGGGGGTAATTCTTTTGACATGACTCGTCTGTCCGTCTGTCTTTCTGGACTGCTTGGATCTCTCACTCTCTATTTTCCCATCTTTCTCTGGCTCAGAGCTCGATTGCCATCGGCGCAGCATTGGTGGGTGTCGGCGGATCGTCACTAGAGATATGCCGACGAATTTCTTCTATGAATGATCTGTGCATCTTGATCATGTTCTTTGCATGTCAGATGGTTTCGTTTCAGTTTCGACAGCTACTGAAAGTTCGATTCTCTGAGTTGGAATCCGCAATTGAAAGCGCCACATGTCTTTGGGAATGGCTGCCAACTAGAGCGGGCTTCTTCAGCTGCTATTTGTACTTGAGTCAGGGCGAGAGTCGATTATTGGGGAGTCAAAGCAGAGTATATGTTCATGAAATTCTTCATTCAGTTGGCGGCTGTTAAACTTGTAACCACTTGTGCTGAATTGAGTCTGTCTCGGGCCTGCCAATCAGCAGCAGGAGTTGGAGCTGGGGCAACCAATACTTGGCCTCCGCGGGTTCTCGATACGATTTACAAGGATCGACTCCAAACACTCTATGATCTTCTTCTTCATCTTCTGATCGGACCTTCTAATGGATCTTCTGATGCTCTCAATGCTGCGGTCGAAGTGGGAAAGACCACGAATGGAGTTCGACCGGAAGGTCCTGAGATCGCCAACACAAAGTGCCGCACTGACGAGGTGGAAGCGAAGGAGGCTCAAAGAAGGCTTACTCGCGAAGATGATCCATTGTGCTACACCACGATGCTCCGGGAGAGTTACGCTGTGATGCCAGAAACAGCCCCTACATTGGGTGCTGTGTCTTTTGAGCAGCGATGGACGCAACAACAGGTGTGTCCGCAATACTGTGTCAATCCAACAATTCCGACAGTGGGAGATTCCAACTTTGGTTGTGGTGCGTTTCATCATGCTTCGCTGCAGCTGAATTGATTTTCAAATTCATCATCTTCCTTCCTACTCCGCTTTTTGATTCTATGTTTGAAGAAGACTAACATCGACTTCGACTTGATGAGGAGAACTTTCCGTAGTTCCATGCCAAATATTATTCACTCTACTGTGCCATTGCCTGTTGTGTTCCAGATTGTGGAAAGAGTAATTGAGCTTCAGTTTCGACAGGAAGTGAAGCCTTCTCATGTCCTCTGTTCTGGATACAGGAAGGTGTGTATACCGATTGCTCGGTGCAACCCTCAGTAACGTCGTGGGTACAAAGTTCAGAATTTATGACCCATCAGATAGGACTCACAAGTGCTGCCGCTCTGGGTTTCGGATGGAGGCTAGTGATCTCTGTGTATAACTGAGACTCCACAAATGAGCGATGTTTATAAATGTTCAGATTATACAGTTCTAAGAACATGTGGCTTGAATGGTGTCTGTAGACGATAAGAGTTTTGAAGTTGTCCAGAGAGAAAATTTAGTCATGAAGTCAAGGAACTAAAAAGGTCTGGCATCTGACTATGTCTATTCGAACATCCCTGTTCACTTCGCAACGGCGTTTCGTTTAAGTCTCTGTTTTAGAGCTGTAGTTGCATGTGTCGGCCCTACTATCATCTCTCAGGTGCCTGTAGGATGAGTCAGCGCATATCTTAGTGTCGTCCAGTGCTCCGTATCCCATCGACAATCACAACAATAGACAATCCGTTCTCTCTCCACTCTCTCTGAGTGCACGTGACATTAGAAAAACTAGATATTATGTTTTGAGAATGAACCTGAGCAAAGAGAGGGATAAGACTTAATCCTGTATTTGCGTATTGCAGCTACGGCCATCTCTCATAGGGTCAAGTCGAAGACGAGCTCCCGTGGGATTGGAGTGTCTTTACGGAAATGCAGCTGTAGACATTGTGAATTCTTCGAGCTGGAAAGTTCTTCTCTCACGGGTATAACATTTCAGCGAATTTAATTATTACGTCTCAGCCTTCACTACTTTGTATACACGGCAATCTCGGTTAGTTGGTTTCTGTACATACCTTTTCTAAGTTTCCGCAAGATTCCCTGTGACCTATCAATCTGCTGATAGAGTATACATGCAGCTCTAGCCTATGCTTCAAATGATGCCATGTAATGACAGTAGTGTTCTTCCCGTGGTGTACAGGTCGGAGATTTGGTTATGCTTCACATACTTTCGCATGCAGCCATTTTTACTCCCTTGCCCAATGACTGCCTGTTGCAAATATCTGGAGCTCCGATCAGTTCCTCAGTTTCCACATTTCGGAAGTCTTCACTACTGCATACCGGAGAAAAAATGCTTCGAAGCCATTCCAAAAGGAAGCCAGAATTGCAGACGTCCTCTGCCCAGTTAAACTTCCGTGGCACAAAAAGAAGTATGAAACAAGTCTCGCTCGAAGGTCAGGACAAAACAACCCGAAAGTCTTTTCTACTTTAATTGGACGTAATTCCTGACTTGTCAAAGGTATCGGGTTTTCCGCGCTGGTATCACTTCCTTTTAGGATTCCTTATTGGCTTACATCATCTATTGTTGTATCGGTGATTTTGGGGCAGGTTCATCGTCCTGTAACCACGCTGCTGCTATTGGAGAAACAATTCAAGACGCCGCTGCCACTATGGAGTCTGGTGATGATCCAGCTCCTTATTCCAAAATGAGAATTAGTAAAAAGCTTCAACCTAATTCCAATGCAGTTGAGAAAAACGTCGAAAAATCCCTCTGGCCTCAAACATCTTGTGTCATAGATAAAAGCTACCAGGCCAAAAGGAAGGCGCAAGAGACAACCGTCAACGGGGACATTCACTGGATGGCTAGGAGTCATAATCCAGATTCCGAATTTAGAAAACGTAGAAAATTGGAAGTAAATCACGTTGATGCAATCAGGGAAGCTGAGAACTGCGAGGAGTGTGTCGGAAGGACTACAAAAAGGTCAAAATTGCCCGTGAACAGAGGGGAAGATTTCAGTGAACAGCAAACCTTGAACCCCCACCCAACCATCAGTGATGGCATTAAGGCGGAAGTGTTGCAGTTCACAAAATTTCGTGCAGGAGCCACCAGACGGGAGCAGTTTAACATAATACCAATTTCTACTCCTAGTAAGGTATCAACGAATACGAATGTTTTCAAACCAAGGGATGGAGGAACGAATTTGATACAACTGTCAGATACTCCTCTCTCATCAGGAGGGTCTTTTCTCGCATCTGAAGTTTGTCCAAGTACAGTAGGCTCCTCCCACAGTGAGCCGAAAATTCCAGACACTAAAAGAACCAAACGAGTAAGACTTCCGAGCTGGAAAAGAAGGAAACTACTGCGAAAAGGTGAAGACGCGTGTTCTCAAGGTATTCTTCTGCGTCCCGACCCGTTATCACAGGCAAAGTCAATATACACATCTTGCACCCCGCGTAGTGAAGTTGTAGGATACTGATAGCCGGATGTTCCGAGGCGTGATGGATTCGAAGCTTCAGGTCTTGCGATTTTTACAGTTGACCGCACATATCAAGTGACTCGTCCACTACATTATATAGATACGGGATGCGTAATAGTTTTGCATTCATTACTATTGCCTCGAGGAGTACGATGTATGCAGTAGCAGAGTTGTGGCTTGGGAAGGCTAGTCGTCAGGACAAAGAGGTTCCTCTCTCACATTTGCCTCTTGAAGGACTTGAGGGCGGAGTTCAAGAGAAACCGCCAATCATCTTGGTGGAAAAGCTTAACACACCGAAAGGAGGTGAGAAGGATTCTGAGGAGAGGAGGCAATCAAAACTCCATGTTTTACCTTCTAAGCAGTATGTCTCACAAGGGTCAGGCGGTAGTGGAGAGGAAAGAGGCATGGCACAGGAAGCGGTAGCTCTTTTTACAGAGCCTAGTAAGGTTCGCCAAACGACGAAACGAGAAACTGATATTCCAAGTAGACGTACCGGCCCTTCTCACATGGTCATCAATCGAGCATCCATTTTTTACAGTTCCAACTTTTCATGCCATCCCGGTCTACCTGCTAATCGTATCCTTTACATGGAGGACGCGTACTCTATGTTTCCTCTTCTCGTTTCTTGAGTACACCTATGGTTTATTTTTCATCCATGCAAATATATCAAGAAAAGAAAGGAGTGTTGAGTTTAGTTGCCAGTTGATGTTTTCGGCCAAAGTCTAAAGTATGTACCAATCAGCTTCTATGTACTTAGGCGCCCCAGAACTGATTTCTTAAAGCTTTACTACACATAACGCCATGGTCGTGTTGTTTATTCTCTAGAACACGTCGGAAGTTTGTCAGGAATAGTGAAAAGGACGAGGAAGCTTGTTTTTCTTGACTGTTGGAAGATACTCTCAACAAATTAAAGCCTGATGAGGCTGGAGCGGATCATCTTCACGCTTATATCTTCGGTTCTCTTGATGGCATGTCAGCTGGCTTATCCAGTGATCCGAATGTATCTGTGGATACACCAAATAGGAGGTTAGAACTGAAGATTGAGTTCAGTAAAATTATTTTCTAATGGCATGATGTGTATAGACTCTCTGAAGCTGAAATTTAGAAAGCATAACCGTGAGGTTCATTTTCGACCTCGTAGTGCAGGTTCTGTTTAAGACCGCTTCAAACTTCATCTCGTTTGAGACCATTGACTCCTTTGTAAGACGAGGACTTTAGATTAATCATCATATTAAGTGTATATTTTTCTGACTGTTGTTTAATGACTTTGTCTCAGGTCTATTCGCCTATTATTAAAGCAACTTCTTGCCCGTGCGAAGCGCTGTGCATATGCCAAGTTGCTCAATCGCCACTGTCCACTTCCACAAATGTTGAACTCACAGCTTGCCGAATCCTCCACTCCTTTCTTGACAGCAGCTACTGCACCGTCTGAAACTCAGGTACTCTTGTGTGCACGTTACTCTACAGTAAGACCGATTGCCTCGAACAACGGCTCTAGTAGTAGTCATCCTGTTGAATTTTGTTACTTCGTGCTACTAGACCTCTTCTTTGTTTTGCTGTCTCGTACTGGTGACATCAATTTGTCAGTTCTTCTAATATGGGCTAAAGTGCTACCATTTACATCGGCTTTTCAACTGTAGGACGCTAACTTCACCTAAATTCAATTGGTGTTTATCTGTCTTCACTTAAAACAGCATCGTCTTCCTAAAGCGCTGGGTCTAGGCCCGTCAGGCAACGGCACTTTAATGTAATCTTTGACAGTTCCACTCATCTAAACCCTGAACAGGCATTAGTACCATGTAGGTGGTCTGTTTTGAAACTTTTAGTGACTTGCATGTCGTATCTTGCAGGATGGATCACAGAGAAGTCAACCTGTTGTTGACAAGCATGAACGCGAGAATCTGGAGCAGCATGTAGAAGTTGAAGAAATGATGAAACTACTGCTTGGTCCCATGTATCAGCCAAGCGGCACAAGCATCACCAAACCCTGCGATCAACTTGATTATGTCAGTCAAGCTCAGCTGACACCAATTCCAAGGAGCGGTGAACAGAATGCAGGTGGTAACAACAAGCGGTTTGAAGCTGAGAAACACGGAAAGGATTGTGCTGATGCTATCCACACGGCCAGCATCGTCGCTACCGACAAGACACTGCGAGCAGGACTCGTAGCTTCTTACGCAGATCACAGCAGTGTCGTTGGGTTTCTCTGGGCCACCTGCAGGAGTATCATACCCCCAGATATGCTCGGTTCAAAGCGAAGTTGGAGAGCCTTGCGTAGTAGTATTGCTCATTTTGTAGGTCTCAGGAGGCATGAAAAGTTTAATATTCAGCTAGCACTTCTCAAATTGAAGCTCTCCAGCTACTCCTGGCTGACCATTGCTCCATCTACTACTGTGGATAATATATCAAAGGTGAGCTCAAGTAGTGGAGAACGATCACTGCAGCAGAAAAAACTGGTGTTGTGGCTATACTGGCTGTTTACCAGTCTCGTGGTGCCTCTCATCCGGTCTCATTTTTATGTTACAGAGATTGAAAATCATAGGCAAAATGTCTTCTACTATCGAAAGCCAGTCTGGGCGAAACTCCGCAACATAGCCTTGAAAGATCTGACTCAGCGAAACTACAAGAAGCTGAGCAAGAAGTCGGTTTCCGAAGCTCTGGACGGTAAAGCTCTGGGATTTTCGAAGGTCAGACTGCTACCTAAACGAACAGGAGTGCGGCCAATAGCAAATCTTGCAGCTCCTTCTCAAGGTACCTTGAAGTTTAGAGTGAAGCCCGAGAGGCGGCCAACATTACGTCAGTTATTTGGAGATCTTGAAAAACCATCAGCTCCCAGTAATGGCCGAGCGATGATCCACTGCAACAGTGTTAGCAGCCTTGGTGCTGCCAAGGATTCAAGTGAATCGTTCACGGACTTTTCTCCCCAAAAGTCATGGCAGAGCGCTGCAATCAGACAAAGTCATGTAACCACCTATATCAAAGATAGTTCCATCTCTCCTAATGGCAATTCTGCCAGCCCATTGTTTAGAGCTGCTTCGAAGGAAACGACTCCATGCAAATATGTGCTGCCAGTTGGTGAAGTCAGAAACAGTAGATTCTCCCGAAAATTTTTAAAGAGTGTGAATTTCTCCTTCAGATCTGTCAACTCTGTTCTAAGAGATGCATACTTCTGCCTGAAGCTTGAGAAGGATTCTTACCCCGAAGACCTGGGATCCTCTGTTTTTGGATACAGTGATATTCACTCCAAGGTTCTCCCTTTCATACTTCAAATCAAAGCCTCTTCAACGACAGTCCCACGCCTGTACATGGTTGTTTGTGATGTGACCAAGGCTTATGATAGTATTCAGCAGGAAAAGCTTCTTGAGATAGTCAGTGAATACATGCGCAGCTTCGATTATAATGTGGCTAAGTATACTTGCGTGACTCCAACTCTGGCTTCTGTTAGAGTCTCTCATGAAAGAGCACCAACACGAGCTTCCGAGCATCAACAATTCTCTCAATTGGTGCATGACCTGGCAACCAAGCACTCTCACTGCATCTTCACGGATCAGGTACGATACTTTTCTGCTCTCGTGATGAGGCTGCTGATTGCCACTGTACCTTTAGGACTTTAGGACACTCTGGTTTATCTTTGCCATCTTCTCTCTCATTTATGGTCGTAACTTGGTGGTATTGATGCATGAGGGCACACTGTGAAATTTTGTCTAGACAGGTGCATTTTTATCTTGACTTCTGTCAGACCAAACATACAGGCCAAATTTTGGAAGAAGAGAATGTTTGTTGAGCCCCATCGTGTCTAATGTTGTCTCAGCCACTGTAGGTTCTATATTCTAAAACTTGCCTCGGATCATTCGTCATTGTTTACAGGGATTTTGCACTAGTGTACGACGTGAGAAAATCCTGGGTTTGTTGGAAGAACACATAAAGAACAACATTGTGCAAATGGGGAAACAGTTCTATAAGCAGACAGTCGGTATACCCCAAGGCAGCATTTTATCCTCCATTCTTTGCTCACTCTTTTATGGTCACTTTGAATTGCAGAGGCTGATGCCTCATCTACAGTCACGTCTTACAGAGAAATTACTGTCTTCAAAACGTGCTGGTTCCTTAGCGTCAGCTTGTGGCTTACTACTTCCTCAAGCTGAAATCTTAGCCACACAGACGGCGGAGATGGACGTCGAGCACATGTTGGAATCATCATTCGATATGCGGAGTCCAGATCCATCAGCTAAAACGCTCAGTAATGGCTATTGCAGCTGTTCTGAATGTCAGAAAAGTGACTCCTCCAGCATATTGAAGAACTCTGTTCTCTTGCGCCTCATAGATGATTCCTTTTTCATCTCTACGTCTGAGGCAGCAGCAACAATGTTTGTTGAGAACATGCACATGGGGTCGGAGGAGTACGGATGTCAGGCCAATAAGCGGAAGACAGCGACCAGTTTCTCTGTACAGCTTGGGAAAAGAGTTTTGCCCAAGAAGATTTATACTACAGAAGACGGTGCTTGCTTCATCCGCTGGAGTGGCCTCCTAGTCAACTGCTACACCGTGGAGTTTCAAGCAGATTACACAAGGTCGTGCACGGAACGAATAATCTTGTCACGGATGACTACATGTGCAAGGCGTCTAGTGTCTTCCAGTCTCACCCCATGTCATCATTGTATTGGCATAAGAGTCCCTGTTAGCAGTAATCAATTGTGAAGGTTTACAGGTGTATCTGGTCGACACGGTTGATTGCCATTGTGTTGGGTCAATGCTTGCAAATAATTTCACACTTTTGAAGAAATGCGTCCAGGGCTGACAAGGAACAAGTTCACATATACTGCTACCGGGTTTATGTTACATGACGTGCTTTACGACCAGAATGCGCGCTTAAGATTAGCACTAACTGGATGTCAGAATGTTTCATGCGTCGCAGATACTCTGGGGAGCACATCCGGTCTACACTGACGGTGAAGAGGGAGCGGAATCAGGGCTGGCATCTCGTGCTGAAAATGTGCCAATACATGAGGCCAAAATGTCATGCGTTGTTTTTCGATCCCCGAATCAACTCCCCTGCCACCATCCGACTCAACGCATTTCAGTCGTTTCTTCTGTGCGCAATGAAGTTTCACGCGTACATGTGTTGTCTGCCTCGTGTCACCGGAGACAATCAGCCATTTCTGTATGAAGTGATCTGCTGTACTATCAGGTAAGCGCACAAACCTACCGAAACCTTGCACGGTCAGAACTCCTGTTCGTGTCCAAGAAAAGTGAGATATTTGTTTCATGTCTAGTACGTTGGGCATACTGCCTGAGTCTTCTCTTTCGTCAGCGGAGCTCTCTCTCGAGAGTTCTGAATGTTCCATTCTGCTGATGTGACATTCTCATGGGGACGGCCAGATGCCATAGCGTCAGCTTTCGTTTCTTAGCTTGCGCCGAACAAGTTCCACGCCCAGAGTCAATCTGGATTCAGGTCTCTGTTGACGACGTTCTGTCCTGTGGGCATCTGAAGGTACATGTACGGTCTTTTGAGGCACAGGATGGAAACGGTTGGAGCAAAAGCGGTCGAATATTTCCCCTTCGTGGAGCTTGAGTGGCTGGCGATGGTTGCCTTTCACCGGATACTCAAGAGAAAGCAATCACGCTATCGAATGCTTCTAGCAGCTTTGCAGATTCAGCTTGAGAATCCCAAGTACAGGAAGATGACATCCTGCCCTCACCTTTCCTCCGCTACGGATGAGAAGAGATCGTCCATGTTTAAATATATAAAATATTGAATTTGCAACTCACTCACTCACTCACTGTACAGACTCAACTTGCGCAATCTTCGTTTCTCCTCAGAACTAGAGAGCTCAAAAGTTCGTACGTAACAGCTGATCACTCCAATCTGAGGCACGTACATATTTCTCCAGACCTAGTCCCTCGTCGCCCCGCCCACCATCCAAAAGTGTCTCATCGGAGTCACCAAAGTCGAGCAGTGGAGTAAGTAATGGCAATCTCTTGCACTCCGCTGCATGAATTTCTTTAACTGACCGTTCCTGGCTTCAGCCTCTCTCTACTTTCTGACGGAATGAGAAGTGATATGAATAGAAGCAACACTGAAGTCGAGAAAACTAGAGCTACATTCAAGATGGAAAGGTCGATCTCAGCAATAATCGTGGAACGACGACCGCCGAAGCAGGAAGGCGACACATGTCTCCTTGAGCTCTACAATGTCCCGGTGCCAGGAACGTGGCACTCCCACTTCTCGGCACCGAGAAGTTTCGTGACACCAAAAGGTGGAACCGTGCTAGTTTTGACTTCTGTATGTCCTAAAAGTAGAGAAACTCCCAGACTCTCACAGCCTGGTCCTGTAATGTCAATGTCGGTACAACGAGATGGCCTCCGTTTTGGACGTCCTTGGACGACAAGCCCTCTATTCGATAACCACAATACTGACTGATTCATAGGTCCCACATAATCCGAGGTTTCAGACCTGGGTTTGACAGATCCGTGTTATAATACTTCTCGGTAAGGACAGATGCCAAGATCTCTCGTAGATCTCTCGATTAACGAATGCAACGTACGTCGTAAGGAATCGCAAAGCGAGAACAGTGAAGGCGAGGATGGGGCGGCCATCTTTCTGGGGTGACAAGGAGCATGCCTAGAAATATCTGTCTGCTCAGAGTCCTGACCTAGGCAGGAGTGTGCCCTCGGCATCTGATTGGGATTTATTAGTCGAGCTGCCCTCCTTTCCAAGTTTGTGGGGGCTCAACATCTTGTGCATCTTTCTTGTTGTGGTAAACTTTCCCCACGAAGACGTGCAGTGTCCTTGAATGGTGTCATTCCTGTACGGCTGCACTCGAGCTGGTGCACAGGATGGGTGCCCGGGTTTGGCAGGTGTCGAGAGTAGAAACTCCAAAAGCTTGAGCATGCCAGCCTAGGTCGAAATTGTAATAGGCTCGTTGGTTGGTGATGGGAACGAAGAGTCGAGTTACGTCACCTTGCAGACGCATCATCCAGTAGAGTACAGCGGTTTGGAGTCTCAGAAACTCATAATACCTGCAGTACAAGTTTAGGAGCTCTGTAAGTTGAGGCGAGCCGAGGCCGCCTGCTTCTCACAATCTCCCATCGACAGACATTCGAAAATGTGCATGCTTTCTAATTGCTCCGATTGCAGAGCAATCGGAGCTTGTCCATGCTTCCCTTCCTTCGCAGCATGCATGGGGATCATGTGTGCCTCAGTTCAAAGAGCGCAGGTCTCTATGCTCAATTTGAACTTGCTGCAGAGTTCGGTGTTCGATGCAAGGATGAGTGCAGGAGGGAGGGAGTGAGGGAGGGAGGGAGATGGTTGTTGCTTGGTACTTACAGATGGACGAGATCAGACTCGCTGTCAGTTATTTGGCAAAATAACTGAAAGGCGGGGCGCTTGATTGGGTACAAGGTACACTGGGGCTTGGACTCGGGTGCCATATAACTGACGGGACAAGATTGGAGCTCGTTGAATCAGAATCAGTGGCCTCGAAAAAGCAGAAACGACCTTCTGGCCGAGGATAACGGGCTCGAGTGCATCGGTTCTGGAGGTCTGGCCCTCGGAGGGAGGGAGGGGGGAAGGGGGGACGGTGGCAGAAGTGGCAGGCCCGCAGGGGCAGGGAAGTCCTCGCGAGTGAGGGGGCTTCAGAGACACGGCACTCCCATGAGGGCCACCAGTTGGACATTTGCGTCCGGGTCAAGGCCCCGTTTGGCGTGTAGCGCGAGAATAGCCCCTGGGACAAAGTCCAAGCTCTGAGCTCTCTAAGCACTAGGCACTAAGCACTGAGCTCTCTACGCACTGATCACTAAGCACTGAGCACTCTAAGCACTAAGCACTAAGGTCTAAGCACTGTGCGGGCGAAAGACTGCTCGCTTGCTTCGGGGGGAGGAAGACCCCCCTCGAGGGCTAAGACACCTACAGGGGGGAAGGGTCAAGGCCCCGTTTGGCGTGTAGCGCGAGAATAGCCCCTGGGACAAAGTCGAAGCACTAAGCTCTCTAAGCACTACTATAAGCACTAAGCTCTCTAAGCACTGTGCGGGCGAAAGACTGCTCGCTTGCTTGGGGGGAGGAAGCCCCCCTCGAGGGCTAAGACACCTACAGTGGGGAAGGGTCAAAGCCCCGTTTGGCGTGTAGCGCAATAATAGCCCCTGGGACAAAGTCGAAGCACTAAGCTCTCTAAGCTCTACTATAAGCACTAAGCTCTCTAAGCATTGTGCGGGCGAAAGACTGCTGGCTTGCTTCGGGGGGAGGAAGGCCCCCTCGAGGGCTAGACACCTACAGGGGGGAAACGGAGCGGGTAACACGGGGCTAGGCAGGCGCTCATAGCATCGGCATGGGAAATCCCAACGGATGGGGCTGCCTCCTTTGGGGAATATATTACTCGGCGCTTCCATGTGGGCGAAAGAGGGGCTTGCGTAAAGCAGGAACGAGCCCGGAGTGGAGGGCATGGCATGGGAATGCCGACTGACCTGGACGTTTGCTGTCAAAGGTCTTGGATTACTCGGATCCAGATACCGTTTGTATTCTGGATCGTCAGGGGCTCGAGGATCGAGGCCCGTCGCGCATTGAAGCTCGGAGACGCTTTTGAGGATGGGAAGTCTGAGAGAAATCAAACGGGAGGAGCGGGGGAGGGAGGGAGGGAGGCAGGTGACAGAGAGGGCGAGGCCAGTGCTTGGCCGAAGGTTTAGGGTTTGGGAAGGAACTAGCAGTAGGAGATGATGATTACTCTCTAATTGCTGATGATTCCAGTGATGAAAGTTCCAGTATCTAAAGAAACAATTCTGGCAGCTGGATAATCATTTGGCCACGGTGTCAGAGTCCTCCTCGGCATGGTAGGTAATAACTCCCTGCCAAAGATCCGAAGCATGATGTCAAGTGAATGCGAGCCATTATACGCCACAAGGCCTTGTTTTGACTGGCGGGGTGCGGTGGCTTTGATTTTTCCTTTTTGTATTTCATTCCAAAGGTCTTTTTCTATCCAGGCAGAATCAATCAGTTCCGGAATCTTGCTCTGATCCCCATACACTGTGGCGTCTTCCAGTCTGTGGCAGCGTTATGGCAATCTTCTCCCATGTTCGCTTTGATTTCACGCTCATGCTGCTTTCCTCCAGCCCAGCCCCATCCCCAGCCCAGCCCCGCCCAGCAGCAGCAGCAATTCCGGCCCTCTCGACCCACACAACACATCACAGGCCCGGCTTGGTGATGATCGTGCTTCTCTAACGACTTGGGAGTGTGACCTTTTAGGTTAAACGCCTTTCACTTGTCGCTCGCACGTTCAAGGAGAAATCTAGATATGGATCAGAAATCATCAGACGTCAGGGCCGAGGATTACTTTTGCACCGTGTCAGATCTGGGGACTTTCTCCACAGGTTACCAAAGCATGCGTCCGAGACGAACGTTCATGGAGGGGGCCAGAGGGCGCAGGGCCAGAAGCAGTATTAGTATCACAGGACGCAGTGAATCAATGATTTTGCACTGCGACCCTGACTCTCTCTCGCTTGACTCGGGCTTCGCATCCCTTCCAGCTCTGAACGTTTCCACTGGAGCACGAGTTACCACCGGCCTCAGTCGCTCTGGAAAAGGCAAAGGTTCCTTCGAAATTTGCACAACATTCATCATCAGATTCTAAAACAAGGTACGACGACGAACCGAGAACTCGCCAGCCCCGCCAGCCAGCCAAGTCTGGCCGACTTGGATGTAGCTGGCTGGACACGGACACGGGCACGGCCGCGACTGAATGGCTGAGTGCCTGACCGAGCCATCCAGACGCTGCAGGCAGAGGCAGGCAGAGGCAGCAGGCACGGGACGAGCGAAATTAAACACTATAATATACCATTCTAGAGGGTTCATTTCGTCTGAATCACCATCACACTGCTTGCTTCCACTTCCGACATCGGGGTTCTGGCACTTCCGTAGACTGGACCTGGATGTCACTGGCCGACAGACGAATGGCCAGACAGGCTCCGAGGGACACATCCGAGCCAAATGCACGCTCTTGGATCAGCAGAAATTCAGTAAACGGCGCTGGCTCGCTCGCTCTCTGGGCCGATGAATGGATGGACGGATGGACTGACGGAGCGAGCGAGGACTCGGCCGAGAGCCTGGATTGTACAATTTGTACCCGTTCATGCGCTGCATCATGCGCGAGCTAGCGCTCACAGAAGTTGATCATGCACAAACGTAATTATTGGATTCAGAAGCCTGAGCTTCTCGCGATCGTGTCCTCGTCCGAGCCTCGTCGCCACTGGAAAGGGGCTAGCTGGGCATGCTTCCCAGCAGCGTCTTCATTCACTCACTCACTCACTCATTGTCGGCACTCGGCGTTCCGGTCGTCCTCCAAAATCTCGACCCAGCGTCGTCTCGAGCCCCAACGCAGCGACTAGCGTAGCGTAGCGCTTCGCTTCGCTTCGGTCGTGGGTCGGTCGCTTACTAGCACTAGCGCAGGGGCAGGGGCAGGCGCAGGCGCAGGCACCAGCGGCAGCGGTGGCGGTACGCTGGCACGCTCCAGCGTCTTACTCGTTGCGGTAGGCCGCTGGGGGCGCATGGTCTATAGACTGCATGCTCTGATCATTTGGCACGTGATCAGCACCGTAATCTACGCTCCATGCACCCTCTCCCCCTCTCTCTCTTCCCCTCTGGCGCTTCATTTCGTCCGTCGTCGCTTGATCGCGCGACCGAATTTCCCCCTAGAGCAAAGGGTTTGGCCCCATCGACCCCTTTTGCCTACTTTGCCCCTTGCCCCTTGCCCCTTGCTCCTCGCTCCTCGCTCGCAGCAGCAGCAGCACACGAGGCCAATTTTTGATCTCGGGAGGTAAATTTGTACGCTCGAGCTGGGCAACGCTTCTGGGGTCGGCCAAAAGACTTGGGCCGCGATGCTCGATCTGCCTCGCCCACCGACCGTGTGAAGAAGAAGAAGAACGGGGCTAAAATAAAACGTCCTCATATAACTGTAACTGGCGTGCTTGGCCTGGTGGGGGAAGGGGAAGGGGAAGGGGTAGGGGCTGGGGCTGGAATGGGCCCGTGCGATCGTTTGGATCGGTTGCAATGGGGGCCAGGACTAGGGACTAGAGACTCAGGGCTCGAGAGCCCATGTCGACGAATTCTGCCCATTTCCGTGTGTTGTGACGGTCCGAGGGAGGAGGAGGAGGAGGAGGAGAAGCCGGCCGAGCGAGGGAGGCCGAGGAGTTTCAACTCTTGGGCCCTTGGAGTGGTGCCCAATTATCCATCGGCTGGCTCTCGTCCGACGCGGACGGTTGGCCGTTGGAAGAGGGCGAACTCTCACGACAGCTTTCTCTTCGTCCATAGGCCAGACTTTTCAGTTTCATGAATTCGGCACGATTGGTACCAGGCCCAGGCGAGGACGAGGGTGCTGCTTGCTGTCGTTCCATGGTGGACACCAGCAGCCACCCCGCCCTCTGTCTGCGTCCATCACAGCCAGCCAGCAAGCCAGCCATTCATTTTTTCAATCATTCATTGACCCATGCACTCAGGCAGGCCAGGGCCGGCAAGGCATCGGAACTCAGATCGGTGGCAAAAAAATCCCAATTTTATTGAAGCTTTGCAGCCTTGAAAATCCCATTTGGAGGCGGAGGGAAAAATGTGCGCCTCGCATGTCGAGCTTCTTACCGATTCCAGAGTCCGTGATCGATACTCCGCGTTGAATTCATCTATTTGTACAGCTCTAGGACTCCAGTCCATACTGTGATCAGGCAGGGACGGAGAATTTGGGTGAATGAACACATGGACAGGCATTCCAACGACGCATCAAGCCAAGCAGACACCCAGTAGCTCTCAAATTGACAGATTCTCATGTCCTTGGAATTCTTTCTGCCTCTCGAAAATTTAGGCTCGGACACAAACACGACCACGACCACGGCTCAACTCTTAAGACTAACTAATTCTTCTCTAATCATTGCCACCATCCTCATCCGCTGCTCCCTAGAGCAATGCCAAAAGTTCACGCTCAGCCTCCCGGACTGCTTCAGGCTAGGAAGACGACAGTCGCTCATGTAGCAGCAGCAGCAGCAGCAGTGGCAGGCGTAGGGGGTAAACGGTATAAAGCGGGGGGCAACGCTGTCCATGACGAGGTGGTCAATGTCCAAGTTCCCACCACTGGCGTCTGGACAGTTGTGTCCAACCTTTTGCAAGCTCTGGGTGAAGCCCGGGACGACTTGCTGTCTCTGATGTCCAGCGACAGCTTCCGCGGCCTTCGAAGCTCAACAGTCGAACCATCCTCGAAACCGTGGAAGCCCAGGTACAAGGACAAAGATAGCCACCGAAGTAGTTCCCCAGCAGCACCTCGCTCGAATTCTCATCCTGTGGAGTCCTCGAGGAATCACTACACCACCAAAGCTTCTGCTGCTGATCCGAACCAGAATCAGAGGGAAACTGTTGCTGGCGGTGCAATTGAATATTGTGCACCTGTGGCTTTTGGCATGAATCTGGACTTCGAACGCGTGCACCGAGGCAGAAGCTCACCTGCAGCTGGCTCGACTCTAGAGTATAATCATCACCAGCTGCTCCCTCGAGAATCTGACTATGAACCACCGCTACCATCTCGGCCTACTACTGCTACTCCTCGCTCAGCGGCATCAGCAGCATTGAAAGCCCTGAGCAAGGCATCGATTTCGGATTGTGTGGGTCCATACCCAGAGGGCAAACGTGTCTGCAAAGCGGCTCGCTATGCAGATCTTTTGCGAGCAGAGGCAAATCAGCTTCGAGAGAGGCGGCTGGCTGAAGAACCCATATCTCGTCTAAGCAAGCCGTCATGGCTCTGACCGCACCAATTGATTGCTCGACAGTTGGAATCTGATCGTATGTATATAAGCCTCGCCGTTGAATATCGAACGACAGTGTCCTATCTATGAACCTATCTATCAATCTGTCTGTCTGTCTGCCAGTGAACTGATCTCAACACGAAGAAAATCACAAATGATAGTCGGGCACGGCACGCTGAGATACTATAGCTCATCTCCATCCACAGCGTAAGGCGGCAAGATGTTTGATATCAAGCGCGTTGCTTGCAAATCCGCTTGCAATTTCCATCCATCTCTTGCATCAGGGAAGGAACAATCAGCTTACCTTTAATACGGGCCACCGGGAGAGTGGAAAGGGATGTGAAGAATTCATATAAATTTGCAACCAGCTCTCCCCTTCGTTTCCTGTGAAAAATACGGTCCATGGATGTCACTGAATAGTGATTGAAGCAATACCTACTGAAGGAGCAAGGATGGAGAAGAAAGAATGACAGAGGGAGAGAGAGAGAAAACATGACATGACATTGTGCGAGTGGGAGGAAGATGGAATGCAAGAAGAAAATTGAAGGAATAATTAGACAGAATGGAACGCAACATGGAACTCTCTTCAAGCCAAACATGAGCTCCAAGGTTCCAGAGTAACCCCTGCATCAATGGTGTGTCTAGCCTATCTCGGCACTTGAAGATAGGAGAGGCGAACCATTGAGTCAGGGACGACTCCCAGACTCAAAAGCTGGTGTTTTGACGCGAAGAGGGTTCCATACGAAGCTCCATTGGCAACATTTCTGGCCGTTTCGTCGGATTGCTTCATCCGGCTCGTCCTCCTCCAGGGGAGGATTCAAGCCAAGAAACCAATGACCTTATCATCGTCGAGTTTCCATGCTTGCAATACAAACCCATAATGCAGCAGCACCGGCAAATGAATACGAAGAAGACTATTGTGATGCACTTCAAGTCGATGGTCTGGTAGCGAAAACGATCACTCTCGGATGGGCTCCAGATTGATCCTATGCAGCAATCATTCGTTCACTCGTCTCCAATCTTCATCACGACCGGCTGCAATCGGAGCGCTAAAACCTTTCATATTCCCTCGAGCGTCAGTTGGTAAATGTGACACAAGTATACCCGCACCGACCCCAGGCACAACTATAGCAACGAGGCCGAGGTACTAGAGCAATGAGCGAGGTTTAGCAATTTCAAGACATGCGGGTTGAGCTCGAGTTCATCTACTTGTCAATGGCCGGCTGCAAAGAATTCGAGATTTCTTCCGGCCTGCATAACCCGAGGACGAGGGAATTGCCCCAAACGTTGCATAATGCCATCAGATTCCGAGCTTGTGACAAGAGCTTTCGAATTTCCTTGTCAAAAGCAAGCAAGCAAGTAGGCAGGCAGGCAGGCAAGCAAGGAGTGGACTGAATGAGTCGAGTGAGCTCAAGAGCGCAACTAATAGTGGCCGAGGGCACGAGAGAGAAGGCCAAAGTTGTCCACTCCATGCTCACCTCCATCCAAAAACGAACGAGTTGCAAACAAAAGAAAGTCCAAGATCGGTCGTTGCATGGGTGCACGTTTTGCGGAACCGAAGCGGTTCGGATTCTAAAGACGGATGGACGCAAGGACGCAGTAGCTGAGCAGGCAAGGCAAGGCAAGGCAAGGCGAGGCGAGGTGAGGTGAGGCGAGCAGGCTCAGAGAAGAAGCTGCTGACTCATGATCAGAGAGCTGGTTTCTGAAAATAGTCGGATTCAAGCTCTTGCGAGAAGAGAACAAGGACCACTGAGCGACTCTCTAAGAGACTCTGAGAGAGAGAGCTAGGAAGCAGAAGATTGGATATATGAGAGAGAGAGAGAGAGAGAGAGAGAGAGAGAGAGAGAGAGAGAGAGAGAGAGAGAGAGAGAGAGAGAGAGAGAGAGCGAGCGCGCTCTAGGAAGCAGAAGATTGGACGGGCGAGATACAGAAACGGAAGAGAATGCAGCAGCAGCAGATCGTTGGGAGGGAGGGAGAGAGGGAGGGAGGGAAGGAAGGAAGGAAGGAGGCGAGGAAGGATGTGAAGTGAGAAGGAAGGGAGGGAAGGAGGGTGGAGGATGGATATGAGAGAGAGAGAAAGAGGGAGAGGGAGAGAGGGAGGTACGAATTGTAGGCATGGAGGCGCGGCGGGGCTAGAATCGGGGCCTAACAGACTCGAGAGCTTGTGCGGAGGGGCGGGGGGACTGTAGAATGAGCGAGCCTCGTAAACCTCAATCCAAGGCCATCAAGTGCTGCTTCGCCGAATCGTCAGCGACTGAAAAAGAGCGCTCTCAGACAACTGTTAGGACGGAACTCGAGAGCCCCAGCGCTGAACTTTACTGAAGGTGTCTGAGAGGTGAATGATGGGACTATTTATGCATCCAGGGCAGAGAGCTGCTGGGCCGGTGGGCCCGTGCGCTTCTCTCATTTTCGCATTTGTATAGTCCTCTCAAGACGCCAATCTGACACTCGAAATTCACCTGGTTATGAGTACAATCAGTGCAATTTCATGCTTGCCTTGACCGGTTCTCATCCGCTGACACCCCTCCCTCCCTTGGCTTCGCGCCTTCTTCGATCAAATGATTTTCTTTGTTTTAATGATCCATGCTTAGAATCTGATCAATTGTCAATCAAGTTTACGTTGCCTCCCATGCCAGACCCCCCTTCTTCACTCTCAGACTCCAGTCCCGGCCGGCATGAGTCACTGATGTGACTCCCCATGCCCTCCTCCCTCCCTCCCTCCCTCCCTCCCTCCCTCCCTCCCTCCCTACTATCTATCAGCTGCTCCAGAACCTCCGCCTCCTCCTCCTCCTCCTCTCCTCTTCCTACTTGGTTGAGGTTGAGGTTGGGTGGCACCCCCATTCTCCCTCTCCCTCTCTCTCTACTCTACTTTCCAGATCTGCATGCTCTCTCTCTCTCTCTCTCGTTCGTCCTTGCTCGCTCGCTTGCTTTCCCTCCTTCCTCTTCCTCTCGCCATCGGTTTATTAATTCTTGTCTCGGTTCGGTCGAGCTTGGTTTGACAGACGCAGACACGGACATGTTTGTGTGTGAGCACATATGACGCACAGAATGAATGAGCCTGGCGACAATTCTCGTGGTCCAGGACTGCCTCGGCTCTCGCCAACTTTACTCTTGCACATTCAATTTGACAGAGTCCTGGTGGCATGGCACCGTCAGCTGCCTCGCCTCCTGCCCCCTCCTCCTTCTAGCCCGCCAGCGAGCCAGCGAGCCAGTCCATCCATAAATCCTCTTGCATCGATCAAATCAGCCGCTAATCAGGCCCCCCCCCACCCCTACTGCTGAACCGGGCTCCACACAGTGCTTCGCGAGCGAGCGAGCGATGGAGAGAGAGAGAGATAGAGAGATAGAGAGAGAGAGAGCATATTGAGCTGAATGAATATTAAAGATGAAAGAGAAATGCCCCACGGTGCGCAAAGAGAGAGTACCTCGAGAGTTTCGTACGGGTCGGGAGGGGCGAGGTCTGCGAGGCCAGGACAAGCCTAGGGCGAGAAAAGCCTAACTATCTACGGATTTATCCACGATCTAAGTCTCGAGTTGGTGATCGGCTGACTGACACGAAAAGCTGGAGAGAGTGCGCGAGAGAGAGAGAGCGTTGCGGCCACAAAGGAGCTCACAGAGGGCAGTAATGCGGGGTCGAGTTTCTGAATTCGAATCCACGTGAGGGCGACGCGAGAGCACTCATAATCATATTATTAGCAGCGACAAGGCTTAATCGACAAGGGTTTGGCATTGAAAGTGTTCTGTAATCGCATGACAAGGGCACTGACAGTCATTCATTCCTCGGGTGTCAGAGAGTGTGGATGATAGATCTTCTAATCAACCAAATCACGCAGCATTGATCCAACTTTGAGGTTTTAGTAAAGGGGTTAGATAGCGTGTTCATGCTATGAGTCCGTGACTGGTCTTAATGACGTTCCCCCGTACTTTCCCTGCCACAGAGCCCTGTGAGCCTCTCTGACCATTGTCACCCCCTTAAGTCGATGAGGTCCGCCTGTCTGTCCTGCCATGCCATCACTCAGAAGTTGCTGCTGCTGCAGCGGCATTCTCCTCTCCCCTCCGTCCCTCCTCACTCCTCCTTACTCCTCCTCCTGAGTTCTGTCGACTAGTGCATGTCAGCGCTCGCTGTGCCTGTGGCAGCTCGTGCTTGCTCTCCTCGCCTCGCCTTGCCGAAGTTGCCATACCATGCCAATCCTTGCTTGCCTTGGATGGTCTCGGCAGCAGCAGAAGCAGCAGCAGCAGCTTGTGTACTTTATCATGACTATGCCAACTGCACAGGTGGTGAAAACTCATGACAGCATGTGACCATGTACATGTACGCACGCCTTCTTACACTTTGACCTGTTTTAAAAATAGGACGACGTTGAAGAGAGCTTTGCCGTAGTCTCCAATAGATCTATCTGTTGCCATTATATTGGTGTGTCCTTCGTCGTCGCAGCATGACAACTGAATCTGCCGACGATTGGTCAAACACCAAGGCGATTGACTGACAGATTTCTAGTGGCCTTTGCTTTAAGCCGGTAGCAGATGTTTGACACGAACTCTCAAGGCATTTATTCTATCCCGCTTTTGGTTCACGCCACTGCCCAATTGCACCGAAGTTTCTCGGAGTTTAAGGATGGTTGACATGAACTCCCAAAGCATTTCACCTTCTGTCCTCTACCTAATCAGTGGAGTCCCGGCTCGCTTTCTCCGGCCATTCCCTTCCCTTCCCTTCCCTCCCCTCCCCTTCGACTTTATTTATGTGCTCCTGCGAAAGTAACCTCGAACCCACATGTCCATCCAGCGAGAAGATTCAAACCTCACCTTTGCTCAGCCGTAGGCCGAATCGAGTGGTTTCAGTGACATTAACTTGCTTGCAGGCTATAAATCCCGCATATCCAGCATCGCCAGAAGACTTATCCAAAAGGCTATCATCGCTATGGTGCTGGTACACTTCGCTCCCCCCCGCCCCCCCTCCTCGTTTCTAGACCTCTGACTTTTCGACCTCGGCCTTGCCTTCACAAACAAACAATTGCTTCCGCTCTCCCGGACAAAATACACTTATAAAATGGCTGCATCCATGTCCTACATTATTGCCTTCACCAATTACGTTTGTGTGGCTACCTCCTCGCATTCATTCACGATCGGAATTCTTTTACCGTCCGTTGAGTGTCAGTGACGGAAGAGAGAGAGAGAGAGGAGTGAAGCTTTTCCTCCTCCCCTCAGTAGTGAGTGCCCTTCCTCATGATCTACTCATTTTTCCTTCGCCTCTCTAAATGGATTTGGGATAGCAGTGCTCGAGTTCCAAAGGGCACAGTAGGTTTATCTAATGCGAGCACATGCATGGCATTGCCTAGAGGGAGCTTAGACGGCGTAGACCTCCAACCACTCTCTCATGGAGCCGCAAGCACAATGATTAGGGGATGGTTGAGAAAAGAACAAAAATGCCAAAGTTGTCTCTCGTGAGAAGGTGTCTGTTGTCTAATGTCTGACCGGTAACGAGAAGGGGCGGGGCCTTTGGACGGCACGGCTCCATGAGAGGCCGTGAGAGGCGAAAGAGTGACAGTTTCCGAGAGTCCGAGACATGTTCTTCTCCATCACTCTTAATCATTACACTTTGTCAGCGAAGCTCAAGAGAATTTGTTACCACGAGCATCTGAAGGCCAAGTTTTGATCCCCACGAGGACCTCATGGGCCATTCATTATTTGTGGCTGAATGGAACCCATCGTCTTCTAAAAATACCCCCCTTGTCATCATACTTCATGCCCAGCCTC